ATATTTTTTTACAGAGATTGTGTTTTCTTTTTTTCACTTACAAAATCAGCCAAATGTGTAATTTGGTCAGAGAAGAGCTATATCCTATATTTAATTTGTTGCTTATCAATTTTCACGGTTTTGTCATGATTCCTAGGGCTCGGATGTGCCTTCTGCTGGATGCCAGCTAACAGCATGGTCAGCAGGTACTTCAAACGCTGGCGTCCAATAGCCTTTTCCATCTCCAGCTCAGGAGAGTGCGTCTTCTCCATGGCATTCGGCCCTTTTTTCCAGTGGCTCATCGAGGCCTACTCATGGCGAGGAGCTCTGCTCATCATCGGAGGTCTTCAGCTCAACCTCTGGGTGTGTGGCGCGCTCATGAGACCCCTTAAACCAAAACTATGTTTCCCAACCCCTTCCCAAAGAACGCCCACAGTGGGCTCCAAAGAATTGAACCAAACATCCAAGAAGACTTCTTACCGGTGGTCTCTAATCCGTAGGCCCGAGCTACTTTTTTACTTTACTTTTGCTACTTTGGCCACAGCCGGCTTCTTCATTCCCCCGCTGTTCCTTGTCCCACATGTTCGTCACATTGGTGTAGAGCAATACTGGGCCGCCTCGCTCCTGTCCGTACTGTCCCTAACCGACCTGCTGGGCAGGCTGGTGTGTGGATGGCTGGCCAGTTTGAGACTGCTGAGGAATCTCCAGGTGCTGGCCATGGCAGCCACAATGCTGGGTGTGGTGCTGCTGCTCCTCCCCCTTGGGCAGAACCGCTGGGCCATTGTGGTCTTCACTGCACTTTATGGCTTCCTGTTTGGCAGCATGGTGTCTGTCCATATCATCAGCATCGTGGACATTGTGGGGCTCGAGAGATTCGATGGTGCTCTGGGACTTTTTATGTTGGTGAGAAGCTCTGGAGTATTAGTTGCCCTGCCTACTGCAGGTCAGTATGAAGGCTGCTTCATCTTAAAAAGAAACTTTCTCGCAAACATCTATTTTCCCACTATTAACAGTACTGTGTGTAAGTCAGAGGCCAGCCTTCGTTTATTTCCAGTCAAAACGATCATCAAGTACAAGTTATTCATTTTTTAGCATCAGGAAAAAAAGCAGAAAACATATTTAACACAAAATAACACAGACGCCTCAACAGCTAAATATAATATCGTATTGTTCAGTGATTAGTGTGTCCAATCTTTGCACACTAAAATACGACACTGTGAATTGAATTAATGATATTATACTGTAAAGCAACTAGTTTTGTGCTAATAAATGCCCACAACAGGTGTATTTATTGGAGGATGTACTTGTCAGATCAGATGCAACATTTCATATTTAACGTTCAATCTTTCAGTCAGTTTACAAAATATTGGCACTAGGTTTCATCACTGACCCCACAGGCTTTTTTTGGGAACCAGCGTTTTAGTGGTAATTGCGTATGTGGTAAAATATGCTTGGGTAGCTGTATTTCTGCGATGTTGCCTCTCTGATACTTTTGCTTTTTCATGCTTAGCTATATTACTAAACCAGTTCTTGTGAAAACCTGTCTTTATATGTTGTAAGACACATAATTCTTGTTGCCACATGAATTTATACCAACAATATACAATTTGCAGGTACTGTTGGAGCATTTTTCTGGAACTGATCATGGAACATAAGTACATTTAATCCGATGCAGGCAAAATGAGACATTTTCACCACTGCAGTTCAAAATGGAAACCTGTGCAATGACTTTCCATTCTGGCTATTTAAGAAAACTGTATATACAGTTTTTAAGAATGGATCATGAAAACACTGATAGCTTCTACTACTGACCTCACATCATTAATAACAAGAACATCCTGAAATCTTCCACAGTAATAAATGAAGCTCCTACAGACGCCTCACGTTTGTGTCTCTATCGCAGGCTGACTGGTGGACTGGGTTGATGACTTTAGTGCTGTTTTCTACCTGGCTGGTCTCTGCATTATTCTGTCGGCTGTTTTCGTTGTGGTGGTGGACAGGATGGTGGAGAACACGAAGAGGAAGAAGAGCATGACTGCTTCAGGAAGATTCCCAGATCCCAGTAAAACTTGTCTAATAAATGTAATGGACCACTCAGAAGCTTGAGGACATTGTCATCAAAGAAGGATTGGCCAGGATTTTGTGTTAGTTTGTGTGTTTTTGTGTTTTGTAAAGGCAGAATGTATGTAATTTCTAAGATACATTGTCACTAGGACCAGGAGAGGGTGACATGTTGCATTTTAATCGCCTTTTTAAGACTTTTGTGCTTATGAGTATTGCTACTTAAGGCAACAAATTATTTATTTAAAATCACCTTATTATTATTCCACCTTGAATGAATCTTTTCTTTATTGTACACTGTTTATAATGTCTTATATAGAAGCCTTGAAACTTTTTTGTAGTCAGAGATACATTGCTTTTATTAAAAATTCACTTCATTACAAATAAATGTGAGACTGATGCTGCTTTACTGGTCTTAATGACACAGAACATCTTGCAACGTGCACATTAAAGTGTGTAATCGTATGGAAGAGTTTTAACAGTTTAAATGTTTTGTTTGTATTTTTTTTTAATTCAGCAAAAACAGTATCAAATGTATAATAGTGTGTTCTCTGTAGTGGATGGGTTAACTTGTTTTCAACGAAACATGCTATTTAATAATATGTAGATTGTATGTATAATCTAACATTGATTATACCAAGACTGTGCTTCAAATCACTCAGCATAACAGAGGAAATATTTAATTTAATGGAGAATATATTTGTCTTATTTGTTTTGTATTTGGTTAAAATAGTTAACCAAAGTTAACTGAAATCCTGCTTTAAAACATTACGTTTGGTAATATACTCATTAATGAAAGACTAGCCTACTCCAAAGAAACTTTAAACTGTACATAGTTAATTTTGCTCATATATGTTACATTACTAACCTACAAGGTAGTGCTGTGTATTGAGATTTATGCACTCTCATATTACAGAATAAACCAGCACTGCCCAAAAATGAAGTGTTGCATTCTGTTTTGCAAGAACAGAACAAAGAAATCTACAGGTAATCATTACCTATGGGTGTTATGTTACCCCGATTTCCTAACAATGTAGACACTTGAACCACAAACTAGCAACAATGACAGACAGTGAAGTTACGTATAAAATCACTGTGTACGTAGAGTGTGCAGGTGCAGAAAATCGAGAGAAAATTGGACATTTTAATGATTTTCTAAGTATACTCGCATAGCTTCTATACCTATGTTACCCTACAGTGTGTCTGTGTTGTAAATTCCTTTTGCACCATCTTCAGTTGTCTTGTGTGGAATGACATCAAATTGTGCTCAACAAAGAAGTGATTCCAGTTATCTGAAAAGGTGGCTCCTTATTTTAGCATTACAGTTGTTTTTTCCTTTTTTTCATTTTTATAGTTCATAAGGAGTCACTGTGTTCTAAAGGACATTGACTTTAATTACGACTTGAACACGGTGTCAGAAGGTTGAGAGAAGTTTTTGAGCATGTATATAAGGAAATGGTTTGGGACTGTTGACTTCCAGGGTTTTTAGCAACATTAGCCTTGTAGCTACAGTTCTAAACTAAAGAAGCAAAATCTGGATACCAAACATGTCTTGGCTGATCGACTGCATTTGGAGTAAGTGGAAAATCATGTAAATTACATTTTTTGCCAAACTATTTCTTTTTTTTTTTTTAAAAAAGGTTCTTCAGGGTTCTTCAGGAAAGGCAATGGGTATATAGAGAATCATGACTTTGTAAGTATTTCTTTGCATGGTTTGCAGCGGTTCTTCTCTATGATGGAAAGCTATGGGGACACCTACACTTTACACCTACAGGAGCTTGTATGACATCCCATTCTAAATGCATAGGCATTAATAGGGAGTTAGTCCCCCCTTTGCACTTGTCCCCCCTTTGCAGCTTCCATTTTGGAGTGTGTCTGTGGGTATCTTTGCCCATTCATCCAGAAGAGCATTAGTGAGGTCAGACACTGATGCTGGGCAAGAGGGTTTGGCTCACAATCTTCGTTCTAGTTCATCCCAAAGTTGTTTGATGAGGTTGAGGTCAGGGGTCTGTGTGGGCCAGTCAAGTTCTTCCACACCAAACTCACCCAAACATGTCTTTATGAATCTTGCTTTGTGCAGTGGGGCTCAGTCATACTGAAACAGAAAAGGGCCTTCCCCAAACTGTTCCCACAAAGTTAGAAGCATACAGTTGTCCTAAATGTCTTTGTATGCTGAATCATTAAGATTTCCCTTCACTGGAACTAAGGGTTCTAGGCCAACCCCTGATAAACAACCCCATAGCATTATCTCTCCTCCACCAAGCTTTACTGTTGGCACAGTGCAGTCAGGCAGGAAATGTTCTCCTGGCATTCGCCAAACCCAGACTCGTCCATCAGACTGCCAGATAGAAAAGTGTGATTCATCACTCCACAGAATGTGTTTCAACTGCTTCAGAGTTCAGTGGCGGTGCACTTTACATCACCCCCCCACTCCCCGTTTGGCATTGTGCATTTTGATCTTAGGCTTGTGTGGAGCTGCTCAGCCATGGAAACCCATTTTGTGAAGCTCCTGATGCTCAGTTCTTTTACTGATTTTGCTTCCAGAGGTAATTTGGAACTCTTTAGTGAGTGATTCAACAGAGGATAGGCACTGTGTGCTTGTTTCTTTGTCTATATAGTCTGTAAATACATAATATCTCATTATATAATTAACTTCCCAAAATGTTAATGTTTAATAGAACATCAAACAACTCTGTCAAATTTCTAGAATTTTAATCCACAGTTATTAATACATAACTAGGTTGATTCGCCATTCGTTCAGTGTATAGTTCTTATGCACAGTTATGGCCCAGAATATTATTTTATCTTTTCCTTTGCCGGGAACATCTGTTTGCCAAGGAGATCTTTTATAAAGCAGAATCTGCCAAATAAAACGTCAATCATTAACTACTAACAACTGTTGTAAGGTTCATACTGTACAATGTCATCTCATTTTCTATTTTAGAGTTAGACTTCTCTGACACACCATGGAGGAGGATAGCGTGGATCCACCAGATGGTGGGTATGGCTGGGTCGTGGTCACCTCCGCCTTCTTCACCATGGGTCTTGCTAAAGCCGTCCCGAGGAACTTTGGCCTGTTCTTCCTGGATATTCGAAACTACTACGGTGTCCTCACCAGCACTGTGTCATTGATCATCTCCACCAGCATTGCTGTGTTTCATCTGGGAGGTGAGCTGCCAGCTGCAGGACATCTTCTACTTCACTCACTGTACCCACCATCCATACGTCCATATCTTATACTTTTTTTAAGCTTAAGCTAAGAGAAAAATGACTTTCTGTTTACTTTATGTTGAGGAATTTTCAACAAATAATTGAGCCATATGTAATATCAGATGACACAGTGGTGGAAGACATACCTCCCTCGTATCAGTGTAAACAGTGCTTGCCTTTAAGTGATTACACTCAATCTGATTATGCTGATTTATAGATATGTTAAAACCCTAATTGGGCAAGCCACAAAACATTCCAGTACCACGTTGCTATTCCAAAACACTTGGAACTTTCTGAATGCAACAGGATGCTACAACCTGAAAATTTGTAGACAAAATTCTGATTATGAGATTCAGCAACAGCCAGTAGCAGTCATATTGAAGGCTGTTTTAAAGGTTTAAAGGAAATAATGCATGTTTTATTCTCTAGGCCAAAGAAGAAAAGAACCATTCAGCTTGTTACCAGCATAAAGTTTAAAGGCCAGTGTCTGTCATGGTATTGAGATGTATTAGTGCCCATAGCATGGATAGTATGGAGTTAATTTTGTGCCAAAAGTTTCAAATAAAATATTTAAAAACCACAAGCAAAATGTTAAGTATCAAATTGTCCAAAATATGTTGCAAATACAAATAATGTGACTTAAATCAAACTTAACTTTCCAAAAAGATTATTATTCATTTCTTTCTCATTCTGACATAAATGTATCACCCATTTTGTCTGTTTTTGCTTTTCTTTTTTCCATTTGCTAATTTTGCTGGTATATTTTTTGCTTCTGAAATCTTTCTTTTGCTTCCGACTTGTGGCATTTTTTAACACGGGGTGGGTCTTAGAAGAGGTCATTCCCCTGCGCTCTTTATTGGTCAACTGATTTGGAGTGAAAGTTTTTCTGAACACATAGCCACGCCCACTGAGAGCCATGAGCTGCTTCAAACATGGCGGAGCTCTTCATACACAGTATAGTGTTGCCAGCAAGGATTGCGCTGACATGTCCAACCTTATGAGCAGTGTTTGACAAATTTGTTAATGTAACACACGCTCAGCGTCCTGCGTCACCCTGTGTGAAATTGGCTATTAAAGTATATTAAGCAAACTTAGCTGTTTTCAGCTTCTAGCACTACCTAGCGTAGCAGAATGCTGCTGCTCCACGTTACTGTCTTCACAGTAATACAGTGAACTAACTTTAGACATTTAAGCAATTTCGTCATATTTTCAGCATGACTAGCTTAGTTAACCACAAAGGACACTGCTAGGCTAGTTAGCACTAGCATCTGCGAACTTGAAAGGTGGTGCAGCTTCATTCGTTAATAAATAACTAAGTTTGTTCTTCAAAGCTCAAATTAAGTTATATCGTTTTACCCAGGTCGACACAGGACCCATAAACTTGTGAAGCACTAATCATTTAAAAGGAATATGATAAGCATTGCTCATAATGTCTGATATGCCAGTAAAACGCTGCATTCATAGCAGCACTCAGTACGACATGCTCCGCCATGCTGAGGGCGGTGCATCCTGAGTGTCTACGTGTTCAGGAGACCTTTCACTCTGAATCAGTTGACCTATAGAAAGTGCAGGTAAATGCCCTTTTCTACCCCCTGTTAAAAAGTGCCAAAAGTCAAAAGCAAAAGAAAAAGTTCAGAAGCAAAAATTATATCAGCAAAATCAACAAATAGAAAAACATTAATGTAAAAAATTTCAAAATGAGTATGACATTTATATCAGAATGAGTATGTAAAATGTAGTAGTAATCTATTTGAAGAGCTGAGTTTGATTTAACTCTCATTATTTGTATTTGCAACATATTTTGGACATTTTGATACTTAATGTTTTGCTTTTGGATTTTATTATTATTTTATTTGAAACTTTTGGCACAAATTGGCTTGCCTGCAGTCCAGACCTGTCTCCCATTCAAAACAATTATGAAGTGAAAAATAATGAAGTTCATGAGGTAAAACATCAAATATTGTGTTTTTGTACTGCTTTCAATTTAATAGTGGTCTTTCTATCTTTATAACTTCTTCACATGCTGTCTCAACTTTTTTGGAATAGAGGTTTATAAAACCATCATGAAAGATACAAATAAGTGTAAAAATAAATATGCTTTGCAAAAGCCTGGTTGCATTTTTGTCACTGTGGTTAAAAACTGTGATATTTTCTCTCTGCAGCTCCACTGGCTGGAGCTCTCAGTGTCTACCTCACCCAGCGTGGTGTCTTCATGATTGGTGCAGTGCTGGCTGCCTCAGGGATGACCATTGCCTCATTGAGTCTGAGCCTGCCATGGATGTACCTGTCCATAGGAGTTCTGCAAGGTACCGTATAGGTTCCATGACATTTCCCAGGAACAATGCATAATAATCAAGGATGCACTGATCTAAGAATTATTATAGGCTTCATGTAAATATCTGCAGGTGTTGCCAATGCTGACATTGCGTTGCCAATGCTGATAGAAAAAACATTTATAAAATGTAGAAATTTGGGCTAAATTTATCTGGATTATAGAGAAATGTAAATACATTAATTTTAACATTTATTTGTAGGGTGTTACAAATACAGTAAAATGAAATTAATCAAACGTATTTTAGCAAAGTAGCTTAGCATCACCTAAATGTTCTGCTGTTATTAAGTACAATAAATACATCATCTACTATCTACTAAAGGTTTGAAATATTGTTCAAATCTAAACATTAATGCAAATAATTGTTTAGGCAACATCAACATGATTGAACTACATTCATGCCATTTTGGCAGATGCTTTTACCCAGACTGACTTACAATTTGATCAATTTTTACTGAGGAAGGTGAAGGTAGTGGTGTTAGGAGTGTTGCCCAAAGACTCTTACTGACACAGCATGGGGTGCATGCCCAGTCGGGGGGGGGGGTGGTATTGAACCCCAGTCGGCAACATAAAGGGTAAAAAAAAAAAGTCATAAAGATATACTCTGTGTCTAAGTAGAAATCCAAAAATTCTTACACAAACACTAATGTTTGGACTCACTATTCAACAGGGTTCAATAAAATGTTCCAGATAAAGGTAAGAGCTCAGTAAATGTTTTGTATCAAAGTGCTACATGCATTCTTTATAAGTCATTGAGTTAATACACTTGCTTTTTATTGCTTGATGGGACTACATTGGGCTATAAATGACATACCAGTTGATTGTTGTTTTTAGACTAAGGTAACTTGATTGTACAGCATGTTGTACATTATATTTTCATGTTTTTATGTTTTTTTTCCCTTTTCTTTTCTTCTTTCTTTATTGCATATATTTCTACATATATAAAACATTACATGCATATAAAATGTGATCAAATAAAAGCAGTCATTAATATGACAAGTTATTCCAGATTTTTGAATGCTAATCTGTTATCTGTCAGGAGACATTTTAAAACATATTGTATTTTGTTGCAACTGAAGCACAAACTACATTTTTTGGGATTGCATATCGACTTCAATTAGATCTCTCACTGTTTCTCTGATTAACTGTGATCATAAAGAAGTTCATAAAAAGTTCGATTTATGTGTCTGTTTATGGCCTTTTATGGTTTTCTCTGGTTTTCATGTTTTTTTCATGATCCCTAGGACTTGGAGTCTGTTTCTGCTGGATACCAGCTACCAGCATGGTCAGCAGGTACTTCAAACGCTGGCGTCCAATAGCCTTTTCCATCTCCAGCTCAGGAGAGTGTGTCTTCTCCATGGCATTTGGCCCTTTTTTCCAGTGGCTCATTGAGGCCTACTCATGGCAAGGAGCTCTGCTCATCATCGGAGGTCTTCAGCTCAACCTCTGTGTGTGTGGAGCACTTATGAGACCCCTTAAACCAAAACCATCTTCTCCAACCCTTACTCAAGGAAAGCTTACAGTGGGCTCCAAAGAACTGAGTGGAACATCCAAGAAGGCTCCATTTCAGTGGTCTCTAATTCGTAGACCTGAGCTACTACTATACATAACCTATGCCATTTTGACCACAGCCGGCTTCTTCATCCCCCTGCTCTTCCTTGTCCCGCATGCTCGTCACCTGGGTGTGGAGCAGTACTTGGCCGCCTCGCTTATGTCTGTGATGTCCCTGGCTGACCTCCTGGGCAGGCTGGTGTGTGGATGTTTGGCCAGTCTGAGAGTGCTGAGGAACCTCCAGCTGCTGGCCATAGCAGCCAGTCTGCTGGGAGTGGTGCTTCTGCTCCTGCCCCTTGGGCAGGGCTACTGGCCCATCATGATCTTTTCTGCACTCTATGGCTTCCTGTATGGCTGCATGTTGGCTGTCCAGTTCATCAGCATCATAGACATTGTGGGGCTGGGGAGCTTTGACAGTGCTCTGGGACTTTTTATGCTGGTGAGAAGCTCTGGGGCGTTTGTCGCGCAGCCCGCTGGAGGTCAGTATGTCCATAAAATTACTGTAGGCTATATTTCTCCATCCTGTCGCTGTTTGAACATGTATGAAATGTATAGTCTGTATTTTAGGTTCTCCTTAATTACGTAATAATTAGTTAAAACATGTTTGGGATGTTTCGAGTTCCTCTGATGGTGGTTTGCCACCTTGGAGTAGTCAGATTTTGCCACAATACTGCATGCTGACTAACGGTATTTGTCTGATTTGTAGGTCAGATAGGAAAGCGGAAGGATGAGGATGTCTCTGATCTTTTTTATTTGAATATTCGACTACTGTTAAAACACTTCCTACGAGACGTTGACTGCACATGCTGTAATTCTTGTTCAGTTGCCATGTGCACATGCCACAATCTGTACTAAATCAGAATTGCCCAAGGGTTATTCCATGAAACTTCACTGAAAAGTGCAGAGCAAGATACAGTGTTTTTTGCAGGTACTCTTTGAGTATTTTTGACAAATTATTTTTTCAAAGTGAACCAGTTTATGTTCAACAATGTTCCTTTGAGGTTCAGTAATTAACCAACTGTGGTTCTGAATTGGACTAACCTTAGTAGAAGTGTTAAAGCTGTTCAAACACTCACATTTTTCAGAATTGAAGCTGTTTTAAAAAGAAGCATATCTTCAATGTCAAAAACAAAAACAAATCTCTCCAAAATATTCACAGGAGAAAGCAAAACACTCTTCACTTTTAATGTAAGTTAATGTAAAGAAATATTTCTCCAAGCAATATTGTATCATTTCTATGGGCCATTCATCATGAAATTATCCTTTTTTTTTTGCAGTGATAAATGTTTATTCATTGAAGGGGCGGTGAACTTGGTTGCAAATATTAAAATTCTTATATAATATTAAAAATATTAAATCTCAGCGCTTCTAAAGATACAGTCATGTGACAAAATTAGGACATCCCATTAAATATTTAGTTATTTATAAAGAAATATAGACATATCAATATTTGATCTTCTTCCAAACAACATCTATAGATAAAGGTGACGTAGTTGTATCACCTTTGCAAAAACAAAGAAAATTTGACTTTGTTTTTGTTTTATTTAACAAAAAAAAAACAAAAAAACAAAGAAAAAAAGCCAGTTTCTACTGAGGAAAAAGTAATGACACTCCAGGCCCTAATAGCTAGTATTTTCCCCTCTCCTAGTCCTTGGTGGATTTACTGGAATGTTTTGGGTCACGATCATGCTGCATGGTCCACGTCTGCTTCGGCTTCAGTTTTTTGGACAGATGGTCTCACAACTTCCTCAAGCACCACTGATACAATAAAGAATTCATAGTGGATTTTCTGATGGAGAGCCTGCCAGGCCCTGACCTAAACCATGACATTTCCACCTCCATGCTTCACAGTTGGTGTGAGGTTCTTGTGCTCAAATCATGTGTTTGGTTTGTGCCAAACACTCAAGTCTTCTGTTAATTCTCCAAATAATTCAACTTTGGATTCTTCTGTTTAAAGTATGTTGTTCCAGACGTTCTGGCCTTTGTCTAGGTGTTCTCTGGCAAACTTTAGTCTTGCCCTGATGTTTTTTTTGACTGCAAGGGTTTCCTCCATGGACACCTCATATGGAAACTTGTGCACTCTCTTTCTGATTTCTGATGCATGTACTTTGACATCAACTCTGGCAAGAGCTACGTGTAGGTCCCGTGATGACATTTTAGGATTGTTAAAGACTTCTTTACGCATCTTGTGGCCTGCTCTTGGGCTGAACTTGCTAGGACGGCCTGACCTGGCTATGTTGGCAGTTGTTTTAAATGTTCTCCACTTCTAAATTATTTTCTGGACAGTGGAATGACTGGTTTCTAATAGTTTTGACATCTTTTTAAATCCCTTCCCAGACTCATATGCATCTACAGTCTTCTTTCTGAAGGCCCCAGAGAGCTCTTTGGATCTTGCCATGGTGATACCACTCACTTCAACAGTTGAGAGCAAACCAAACTAAATGTCTGATGATGTTCTAATCATTTGCAGCTGATGTGATGCACCTGATTCTAATTTTAGGCATTTTAAATAGTAATGGGGCTGTCCCAACTTTTTCCTCACAAGAATTTTGCATTTCTATAGAATGCATTTTTTAAAGTACTTTTCAAAGACGTTTCTTCAGTTTTATTTTTATTTAGTTATATTACCTCCATCTTTCAATATTGTTAAAATGAAGATCAACTGTCCATATGTTTAAATGTGTTAAAAAAGGCAAAGGTCTTCATGGGGTGTCCTAATTTTCAATTTTTTCACATGACTGTATGTGACTTGATCATTATCCAAAGTTTAATTTAGAAACAAATAGACAAAAAAAAACACCATTTCAAGGGCTGTTCCATTACTTAATTATCTTAAGTGAAGTTTATTATGTGAGCCCTTGTAAGGGTGAGGGATCGAGTGAACACAAGTGTGGACGTCCAGAAATTATTGCGACCTGACACATTTACCTTTTCAACCCCCCCTAAAAATGGTGGACAAAGCTGTTTCTAAGTCATAGTAGTAAACTACTTTAAAATGGTTAATATTTCAAAACTATAACATTCGAGTTATCCATTTCTTATACATGACTGCTGATACAATTTCATTACTTTTATGCTGCTAGCTGGCAAGTTTGCATGCTAGAGGCTACAGAGCTAAAAAAAGAAAGCCAATACACCACAGACATCTCAGAAAAAGTTTGCATTGCAAAGTTTGCATGGCTAACCGATTAGCTTGCTAAGGCTAACCTGCCAAGGACAAGTACGTTACAAGTGAATGATCAGCTCCTCATTGTCTTCTCCTCCTCCTCTTCTGAAGCGAGTGGCCACTAGCATAGATGTGACTTCTGCAAGGAAGACAATCATGGAGGACACACATAGTTGGGGACCGGACGAAATTAAATGCTTAATAGCAACAAGACAGACACTACTGTGCAAAACAAACTGCAGATGAAGAGGCTGAACAGATAAACAGTTGGTAATTGGTTGCACTGTAACAAGTGGATTTGCATATTCCATCCCACACAGCAATTGTATTTCAGTCCGACTAACCAGAGACGCATTTGACTACCAAGCGTAAATGCATGTGGCTAAAATCTTATCAGGATACAATCCAGATACTAGTCACATGAAGTGACCAGGTGTAAACGGGGTCTTAGAATACATCTAGGCAAGGCACATGGGAAAAGCTTTTTTAAAAACTTAATTCACACTCGCTGTTACTTGTTGGCAGTTTTCAAACTTTCTCTGGCATTAACATCAGCACAAAAACTTTGCGCCAGGAGCTTCATGGCATGGGTTTCCATGGCTGAGCAGCTATATGCAAGCCTTACATCACCAAGCATAATGCCAAGTGTCGAATGCAGTGGTGTAAAGCGCTGCTACTGGACTCTGGATCAGTGGAAACATATTCTGTGGAGTGATGAATTACACTTCTCTATCTGGCAGCCTGATGGACGAGTCTGGGTTTGGCGAATGCCAGGAGAACGTTTCCTGCCTGACTGCATTGTGTCAACTGTAAAGTTTGGTGGAGAAGGATAATGCTATAGGGTTGTTTTTCAGGGGTTGGCCTAGGTCCCTTAGTTCCAGTGAAGGGAAATGTTAATGCTTCAGCATACCAAGACATTTTGGACAATTCTATGCTTTCAACTTTGTGGGAACAGTTTGGGTATGGCCCTTTTCTGTTTCAGCATGACTGTATCCCAGTACACAAAGTAAGAACCATAAAGACATGGCTGGATGAGATTGATGTGGAAGAAGATGACTCGCCTGCACAGAGCCCTGACCTCAACCCCATCGATCAACTTTGGGATGAACTAGAACTGAGATTGTGAGCCAGACCCTCTCGTCCAACATCAGTGTCTGATCTCACAAATGCTCTTCTGGATGAATGGGCAAAGATACCCACAGACACTCCAAAATCTTGTAGAAAGCTTCCCAGAAGAGTGGAAGCTGTTATAGCTGCAAAGGGGGGACTAACGACATATTAATGCCTATGGATTTAGAATGTGATGTCATAAAAGCTCCTGTAGGTGTGAAGTGTAGGTGTCTCAATACTTTTGCTCATATACTGTATATACACTTTAGAAATATATTTTTAACTTTTCCTTGTCAAAACTACAGACAGAAATTGAGAATTTATCCTTGAGATGTACAAATAATATTTTATGGCATTGTTGCATGATGCCCACTTATGTGGACTGAATCAGTGGTTATTGTTATATTACCAATTGGTGTCATGATTCAGCCAAGAGGTATTTCAGCTCTGTTCCACAGCAATGATCATGACTCACCCTGCACCCTCGCAGCAGGTTATACAGACTCCTTACATTTGTGTCTCTGTGTCACAGGTTGGTTGGTGGACTGGTTTGATGGCTTCAGTGCTGCATTCTACCTGGCTGGTATGTGCATCCTTCTGTCAGCTGCTTTTGTGGTTGTAGTTGACAGGATGGTGGAGAAGAAGAGGAGGAATGCTGCTTCTGGAGCAGCAGTCCCAGATCCTGTTGCTGAGGGTGAAGCTTGCCCAATGAACAGAGGGGACTGTTTAGAGGCTTAAAAACATTGGGCCTCATTCACTAATACCTTCCTAGGTTTTTTCTTAAATGTGTTTTTGAGAAAGGTCCTAAGAACGTGGTGGTGGTGTGTTAGTGTGTGTTGCGCTGGTCTGAGTGGATCAGACACAGCAGTGCTGCTGGAGTTTTTAAACACCTCATTGTCACTGCTGGACTGAGAATAGTCCACCAACCAAAAATATCCAGCCAACAGCATCCTGTGAGCAGCGTCCTGTGACCACTGATGAAGGACTAAAGGATGACCAACAGAAACTGGGCAGCAGCAGCTAAGCTATCGTCTCTGACAATACAACAACAAGGTGGACCAACTTTCTGTTATGAATGACGTCAACTGAAGGTATTGGAATAATTCACACATTTCGCCCACACAAACCTGACTGAAATATCTACTAATGTGTGCCCAAGTTTCCGGTAACCTGGCATACATGGAACATTCTGTAATATGCAGGTCCAACTGAATCTGCTTTTTTTTCACTGCATTCAAATGATAGTGCTACATTCAAATGTAGTGAAACTGACTAACACTGTTAAATCTGTACTACATTCACGATGATTACGTCTTAACTGAAGGAAGTTCACAATCTTGAGGGGAGATGTACTTACACCTCTCACCACTAGATGGCAACACCACTCAAAGAGCTGAATATCACTCAACTAATAAGAAAGTGAAGATGAATCATTACCACCTTCAAAGAAAACCTGAAACATTAAAAACATAGACTGAACCAGTTTAAGCAGCAGTAATACGGTCTACATTTAAAAAAATGTTTTATATATGTTTTATATATTTAGTGTTTTTTTAATTACCGGCTTTCGTCTTTTTTTTCTTTTTTTTTTGGCCGATTGTGCCCTGAATTTTAGTTTCATCCAAAATCATTTTCATTTCCATAATTCATACTCAAATAAATGTGTAATGAATGTTGAAGGGACATTCCAGACTGAAACTAACATTTAATATTTTTTGTGTTATGTAAGATTCTGTAGTGCAGCATTGCACCCATCAGCCTCATCAGTCTGACAGATTTCACTGTTTTGTATCGTTTTTGTGTTTTCATCTATCATCTCTCACTACAATACCCAGCATGCATTAGGCGAAATCCGTCATACAACTATTGAAAACGAATTAGTTTGATAGCTGCTGATCTAGAAGTTAATAAACATGTCTGTGGTGCTGTTAGCGATATAGAATTAACCTCAACTGGTCGTGTAACATATTTATTTGTTAAAGGAATAATTCAGTGAACTAGCCAAAATAAATTCTCACAGCCCGTCCTCAAATATTCACCTTCAAGATATCTCATCGGAAGTTGTTTTCCTATTCTTAAACCAGGAAATCTCAGGCACCACTGTAAGAGGCGAGTAGACATGTTTACAACAGATTTTGCAACTTTAAACAAAAATGTTTTAGCACTTCAACATCTCAGGTGTATGGAGCCCCGCTGGTGACATAATAATGTCACCTGTATAAATAAAAATAATGTGTGGCCACGACTTAGTAAGGCATGGGAACATGATAATTCAGTCATGGCCTCGACTTTGTAAGGTGTGGAAACAAGATCCTAATGCATGGCCTAAGTCGCCTTACTAAGTCGTGGCCATGCAGTAGGATCTCATTCCCTTGCGTTAATATGTGGTGGTCGTACATTATTTTTATTTATGGTCACCAGTGGGGCTCCATACAGGCTAATTATGCACACTGTGCTAAATGGAGCTGTTAAATCTTCATCTTCAAGTAAAATTACAGCTGTCAGTGGTTAATTTTGCTCATACAAGTTACATTGAACTGTAATTGAATATCATGAGGTTTATGCTCTCTGGTGTTAAAAAATAAAAAGTATAACAACACTTACAAAAGGGACCACAACAATGTGTGTTGTACAAAGCAACACCATTGCATCAGAACTCTGAAGTTCAATGGCGAGCACAACACAAGCGATGACAGTCTGAGTGTAGGCCCAGCTTAACAAAGTGTACAGCCTTTTCTTCCAAAGCACAGTGAGCCTTGGTTGAAAGTACGTATGGAGCTTGTAGTCTCCTAACACAGCTGCGGCCCATCCAAGGAAACCTATGACCTGACCTGGGTACAAGCCATGCCACCAGGCTGAGAACCCGAACGTCATAAACAGTGGAGCCGTGCTGCACCTCTGGAACACTAGTCTGCGTAGCCAGGCAGTTGTTGTGCCGTTCCAGTGGCGTGCAAATGCAGAAATACGTGTTGACGTCTCGATCTTCCACGGATCCCCATCACAAAGTCCATCCCACAGGGCACCTCCGTTTGGACCACACCCACTAAAACCTAATCCAGCTGCATTATTGAGACATTCGCTCATTTTCCAATGGGCATAATAGTTCAGTCTGAGGACCAGAGAGAGGATCCAGATCCATAATATACCTGGAGAATCATGAGGACTGCTCAACCTGAATATGCTTAACTGTAGAAAGCTTGAGAGGAGATATTTGAGGACTAGCAGGACCAACACTCGCAATATCTTCCAGGGCAGAATGGCAAGGGGAGAAGGTGGTGGTCTGATGCTAATCTGCTCTACGAAGGTCACATAAGTGGTAAAGGGGCAAAGTGGTCCTCCAAGGAGAGCAGGGAAGTAGAGAGTGTAGCTAAGAAAAGGAATGAGAGAAATGGCTTGACTCTGGTAGCTTCTTTTGAAGGGCTTGGCAACTTTTCCCTCCTGGAGGTCCATCGACACAGAGGTGACTCTCTGACTGAGAAGCATTAGAGCAGACATTGCCAACAAAAGCCTGAGAAAGAAAGAAGAAAAGCTTAAGGGAATACTCCAGCATTTCTCCAGCAGCCTAATCTCTATTTGCCTGGTCTTATAGTATGAACATGAAGCAAGTGCCCGTTGGCTTCTATTATGAATGTGTTTTGAGTGAACAGATTTTTTCTTTATTTCTATGCAGAGAAAAGCAGCATAATTATTATTCATATTAATCAACCATATGCCAGTTAGAGGTTAGGTTGAAAAATGCTCTTTTAAAGACCCGTAAGATGTGATGAACACAGTAGTCAGAGGTGGGAGATACTTTGTAATGTGAAGCAGTTGTACATTGTTTAAGCATTACTTTGGCATATTTGTACTTTACTTAAATATTGCTTTACTCAATTTCCAAGGTGACCTTCAGAAGGCTTGTTAAAACTCAGAAAGGCCAGGATGTCTGTCTCTTTTTAGTCTTTTTTCTTGAGTTTAAGTGCACTGTAAATTGTTCTTTTTTTCTTTCATTCATATGAAATAAAATTGTAACAAACTATGCTAATTTGTCTTCATGTACCACCAATTAGTCTGCATTTGTTAAACAGGTAACGGGGCAGATTTGTTTGTTTTGCTTACATAGAACATGATCAGCTCATGCTCAGCATTAAACTTACACAGTTTGTGTCCACATACACTTTAGAAACTGGTGTTTTTGTTACTGTGCCTTTAAGGTTGACATATGGAAATTAGCTGACTGTCCTACACTGTGCCTCATTCAAAAGGCAGTACAGGCTGAAACACTGTTTATAGCTTCAGGGTGAAAAGGAGAGGTTAGACTGTAGAATAAAATGCAAATGTGTTGGTTTTCATGACATCACAAAAATAGTGAGTTTAAAACAGGCTGTTTTTGCAGCTTAGTTTCCATTTATAGACTGCATGGACTGAAGAGCACATTTTCTGTTTACATACCATATCAGACTTTATTTCAAAACAGAGGATTTTCCATGACATGGGTCCTTGAATGTTAAAAATGATAATGTCTTCATTGTTAATAGTTTGTATTAAAACATTTCATCTCTGTCATAGAAAAACCCATTTTTCCATTTTTGATTTTTCATGATGAACAGACCAATAGAAATGCTGCAAAATTACTTGGAGTAAAATCTGGTTTTAACTTGCATTAAAAGTTCAAATGTTTTTGCCATCTTCTGTGAAGTTACTGTTTTGAAGCTACACGTTTTTGTTTATTTGTTTTTGGACAGCAATGGTTTACTTGTTGATCTTCAGGTATATTTTTGGCTCCATACTTCTACTTTTTTCATAAAATTTTTACTCAGTCAGTACAAGTACTTTCACTTAAGTTTTCTATACTTTTCCCACCTTTGACTGTGGTCATTGAATTCTGATCATGTTTTTGAGGTGATACCTGGAATCGGCAGGTTCCTGGAGCCAGTACTGCTGATATTGCATATAGAAGTGCCAAAACGTTTGCCAGCACATCTGCAGTCCAAGAATCCACTGATGAACATGAAGTGGTTCCACAAAGTGCACCAGCAGCATGAACTTGGTAGCAGTGATGAACAGTAATATACTATATGGACCCATTGTTAGAACAGCAAGGAAGGACCCTCCCAGCATCAGAAACATATACCTTAGAAAAACACTTCCGTCACTTCATAATAAGGAATATACGGCTAAAACAGCACCATTTTGTTTCAGAATATGCGTCAATAAAGCTCACCTGTTAATCAAAGTGAGATATCCTCGTGTAGTCAAGCTGTAGAATATCACAGCGAAGGGAATAGTGAATAACTGATATGCCAGCTGAGGATTTTGATTAAAAATGATCCAGAGAAGATCCATGATATAAAATGGAAGGTGAGAACTAGGTAAGTATTGCCTTGAGTTGTGCTGCTCTCTTATGTGTGAAGACAATACATCTACTGTGTATGTCTTTCTTGTAAGTGAAGCAGAAATAGGTTTATTATTAACACATGGAGAGCAAACAACCACCATGGATTCACAACATTTCTGTTTTTCCACAAGTAGCTAAAGAACTCATCAAAATTCCAGGTGTGCACAGACAGTCAGACATGCAGTGAAACACAACTGTCTGCATTTTCATTAGATGGAGTTTAAAACATGGTAACGCTATCATGAGTACACAGAGCTTTCATGTAATTGTGTTAAAGTTAACAAATACACAACAATTACTCAAACTGACATTTACAATCTTATATTGTCCAGTGTAAAATGCACTGACATGACAAATAGTTTCTATCCCACTATCTATGACCTTGAATATGATACTCAGGATTGCCTGGGTGATTGTCAGGGCTTTGGATATCTTTACACACACACTTTTACACATACCAATTTATTAGGGATCTTGTATCTGATCTCATTGTTCATTTTATGTCCACTTGCCTTATACAGTACTGTATATAAGGTATTACACTTGCATAAGGAATGAAAAGTCAAAGGAAAATAAGTGAAAAAATTACTTTAAGAAATAGAGAAAATGGAACTCCAAACAATCATGCAAGACCTGGTAGACCATCAAAACTGTCACCATAGGATAAACAGTAAAGCTTTCGTCTTTGAGAGAGAGGAGAAAATCAAGCTCCACTCTTGCTTGCTTGAAAAAAAAGGTGTTTCTGTCCATCCTTCCACTGTGAGAAGACAACTCAACACTGTGAGTCTGAAAGGATGTGTAGCTGTCAGGAAGCTGTTGCTGAGAAAAGGGAAAGAGGAGAAAAATTATTGTAGAACCCTGAAACTGAACAATGGAGATTTGGAGTAAGGTTTTCTGTACTGATGAATCTATATTTGAGATCTTTGGAAGCAAAAGAAGGCAGTATGTACACCACCAAAGCAGCCTCTTCAAACCATGTCTATGACCATCTCTCCATTCAGATAAACAGGTTTTTAGTCAGGCCAGCCTGACTTAAGGCCAGTCTGAAACAGGTCAGGGTGATCATGACCATTCAGCTCACTGCCCAACATACACTGACCACTGCAACAAAAGCGATGGCATGACATTACCATGCTTGCTTGCTTGCATATGAACATTTGCAGTGGATAGAGTGCATGTGGGTTAGGTTAAGGAGGAACACTTCAACATAGGCTGCATTCAGGTGGTATAGCCCATCAGGTAACCATGGACATTTGATAGCAGTAAAGCAGAAAAGGAATCTATTTTTAGACGCATCACAGTTTTCTCTTGTAAGATTCTGCATCAAAAACATCTTGGTCTTTTACACAGGCTTGTGCCTGACAGTACCAAACATTTCTGATGGAAAATAATCACCACATGCTACTGTATGCAAAGTGATGTAAAAAAAACAAACAGTAGTTCAGTTTGTTTGTGTTTAAGATTATTAGATTTTAAAACATAAAGATTTACACTTTTTTAAAAAAATATAGCACAGAAAAAAGGTAACAATAGTGTGGAGCCCTTTTGGTGTTCTTCTCAAAAAAGCAACCATATTCAACAGGTTTACCATCACACATCACGTTTATTTATGTAGCACCTTTCATACACTGTAGTCATACAAAGTGCTTTACAAATGAGAAAATACAAAGATAAATCAAATTAAAAAAGTTATGTAAAGGAGAATGATGATTAAAACATAATTTTAAAAATACATTTTAAAAGAGATTAATCATTAAATTAAATTAGGATAAAGTGCCATTACAGGAGAATAATGCAGTAGAGCTAACAGTGTTTTAAACTGAGTTGAAAGCTGCTCAAATAGGAACATTTAAGCCTCCATTGTCAACTAGTTCCATTTAAGAGCAGCATAGTAGCAAAACGTTGCTTCTCCATGTTTTGTCTTTACCTTAAGCAGGATTAACTGATTAGTTCCTAATGATCAGAGTTCTGCTTGGCTCATATTGCTGCTGCATATCAGATAAATGCCCTGGTCCTACACTATTAAGTGATTTATAGACCAGTAATAGTACCTTAAAGTCTATTTTGTAGCATACTGGTAACCAGTGAAAGGATTTAAGAATAGAATTGTGCACACATGACTGAATCCCAAATGGCTGTTTATTAGACATATGCACTGTATGGGTGCAGGAACCACTATTTTACTATGTAGTGCACTATGTAGGGAGCTGGGAGACATTTAACATTCAGCCAATATTTTTGTCTGAGACTTGGAGGGCCAGCATTATTGGAAATCGTGTGTAGAGTGAGCCATCTGCAGGTTCAGTGTTTTATGTGCAGTGTGAACACCAGTGTTGCGTCATATCAGTGTTTTCATACAGTGTGAGCATATAAATCGCAGGCTTTGTCGATCGATTTATACAATAGGCGATTCAAATGTATAGTGTGAGTTGTCACCATAGAACAAGATTTCTAAAATCGCACAGTGTATGCCTGGCTTTGGATTGACTACATTCTGTGTTTCTTACATACATTCTATATTTCTGATAAGTACTGGAATGGGAGAGATTACTGGCACACAGGGTCCGAGCTTGTTTTGAAAGCATGTACTACTGACATCATCACTGTAGTAGCACAGACCTGAAAATATCAATTTGCCGGATTAATTGGGAATGGGGAGATCTCATCCCTTTCAGTGGAGGAGGGCAGGTGGGGCTTCTGCTGTTGGTGAGGTAGAGAGTGAAGCTGCCTTTCCGCTCGTTGCGCAGATCTTTCTTTCTTTGAGGAGTTGGGGGGAGCCCTGTTCACTAGTAACCATTGCTTTTACTAAAAACTCTGAAGAACTACTTTTTTAAGAACATAGAAAATAGGGTTCTATATAGCATCAAAACAGGTTCTATAACTTGTAACAATAGCTGAGCCCTTCTTTAAAGAACCATATACAACAGGCTTTCCATCACAGAGAAAAATCATTTAACCATGGAAAGAACCATTTATGCATTCACATAGTTTTTTGAGTGTTCACAGTTCTATAGATAACCATTGCCTTTACTAAAGAACCCTTGAAGAACCACTTTTTTAAGGATGTAGCAAAAAGGGTTCTATAAAGCACCAAAGTGTAGGTCACACTCAAACTCGAATAGTGAAGATAAACAAATTTGAGAAGAAAATCATTATGTACACACTTAAAAAGATGGTTCTTCAATGACTCTTTCGTAAAAGGACTGGTTTTATTTAGAACCATGAGTCCTATATAGAACCATTTCATGCTTAAATGGTTTTTAGCATGGTTCTTCAGCTTGATGGAGAATGTGTTGTGTATGGTTTTGTATAGACCCTTTTTGAAAAGGATTCTTTTATTGTTACAAGCCTGACATTGAACCCTTTTGGTGCTATGTAGAACCATTTTCAAAAATGTTCTATATAGAACCATATACAACACATTCTCCACCTGAAGAATGATTTCACCATGCTAAGAACCATTTAAGCATGAAATGGTTATATATAGGACTCATGGTTCAAAACAGAGCCACTGCCTTTAATAAAGAACCCTCTTTTTTGGGTGAAACTCAAACAGTGAAGATGAACAAATACAAGAAAAAAATCAGTACAATCTCAAAAATGATGGTTCTTTAAGGGTTCTTTAGTAGAGAAAATGGTTCTATATAGAAACATGAACACTTTGCGTGATTAAAGCGTTCTTTGCATCGTTAAGTGGTTTATTGGAATGTTCTTATAGATGGTTCTATATAGCACCAGAAAGCGTTCTTCTATTGTTAGAAGAACCCTTTTTGGTGCTATATAGAACCATATAAAACACACTGTCCATCACTCTGAAGAACTATTTCACGATGCAAAGAATCCTGTAATCATGCAAAGGGTTCTTTGAGTGTTCATGGATCTATATAGAACCATTTTCTTTACTAAAGAACCCTTGAAGAACCATCTTTTTTAAGTTTGTAGACTATAGAAATAAAGAAATGGAGATGCATGTAGACGCAAAAAGCATCGTTTTATCTTGGCACCCTGAATCTAAACGGAACAGAGCAGAACGTAAAGGTTCCCACCTCTCTATGAAAATGATGAAGTGAGGGTGGAGGTGGATCCTCAGAGGAACTCCTCATAAAAAAAAACGGCACGTGAGAAAAGTTGGAGACGGCGTCACAGCGCTCGCGCTCAGAGATTGGCCGCCCGCCCCGCCCCACGCGGAGGCGTAGGTGCTGGACACTTTTAAGGAGTTTGCTGGAGCGGCGCTCGGCAGCATCGCGGAGTTGCTGTAGTTTTTCCCTCCGGCTCGTGTCTTTTCCTCCTCGGTCTTTCGTCCGCGTCTCGAGCCTCCAGCATGCAGAGCTGCGCGAGAGCGTGGCGCGTCGTCACGAGGACGGTGAGCGCCCGCGAGAGACGCCGCGTGTGTGAGAAACTCAGCGGCAGACCGGCGTTCACAAACGCGTCCGTTAACGTTAACAGCGTCCGCGGACTCAGGACCACCGCGGCTGCGGGGTCCCGGAAGATTGAGCGGATTCTGCCGAGACACGATGACTTCGCGGAGAGACACATTGGACCCGGTGATAAAGAGAAGAGAGAGATGCTCAACACGCTCGGCCTCGGGGTGAGCTGAGGGGATAAAACTGCAAAAACTGTCGCTGACTAACTGCTGTTCTCCTCAGAGAGGGGGATTCATTCACTCACCTCTTAATGCATTTTTAATACATTTTTATAACACATTTTTGCTACATACGTTTAAAACCAAGAGAGGTGCTCCCTGAAGCCGAAAGTTTAATTTTTATATGATAAAGAAATCTCAAGTTGGCTCCTTGTTTCAATTTTCCGTTTCACCTTATACGGTGCAGCGGTTACATTCTGGCGATTAAAGGCGAACGCAAGTGCTGCACCGTTTAAGGTGGAACGGAAAATTCGAATAGAGAATTAACTTTATTCACGTTAAATAAAGAGATGTAACATGTGTTGTGGTGTTTTGTGCCTGTTTCTTTCTTTCAGTCTGTTTCGGAGCTCATAGAAAACACCATTCCTTCATCAATTCGCCTGCAAAGGAGTCTGAAAATGGACGACCCAGTGTGTAAGTTCTTGACACTTTCATCGAGAGAGAGAGAGAGAGAGAGAGAGAGAGAAACACGTGTTGTCTGTTGATGTGATTTCATCGCTAATTCAAACCGACTCACCACGTACCAGTCGAGCTACTTTTGAGGTAGTGTTTGCGCTTTTTGAAAGGATGTTCTTTCAAAATAGTCCATGAGGAGACCACTTTTCGACGGTAAACAAGCATTTTTCAGTCCCCGCTATCGTATTTGGGCCGAATTATATTTGTAGCCAGTCAGAAGCTCTGTATTTTTCTGACAGAGCACGACTGGGAACAAAAGAGGCGGAATGTGGGTTGCACGCTCATTGTGTGCCAATAGACCTTTAGTGGAGTGAAGGGGGCTTTTTTTCTCCGTGAAAAGTCTTCCTTTGAACATATTTGGAGTTGTTTTTGCCCTCGGCCCATGCCAACAGGCGAGCAGTAGAGTGTAAAGTTCAGCACTGAGCTCCCGTCACACGGCCAGTTTGATCTGGTTGGCGTTGCCATTACATCACGCCTTGTGCACAGCATGGACCATTTTCTTCTCTGTTTCTGCATAACGAATGCACATTTAATGTTAAACTGCATGCGGTTTGAAGCAGAATCGTGCAGAGAAATCTTTTTATCTGGGAAATGTTTGTGGCAGGTTAGGGATGGTTTAACCTTTAATTCGGACTGGAAATGCATTAAATGAGCTTTTCCTTTGAGCAGGTTTGCTTGTACTGGAGAGGTTAGTGTTCATGATGAAAATATTCAAAAAAAAATTGTGATGCATTTTCTTTCATGCAGATCCAAATTGAATTAAAAAATGGGGGGAAAAAAACTAATCTATAGTCTCGTATCTGGTATCCGAAAGGATGACATGAAGAATAATGTCTCAAATGTATAAAAGCACATCACTCCAGATAATCATGAAGGTCTGATGCAGTGCTCTGATGTCAGTTGCGGCCGCCTGTGTCTGCTTCTGTAATGAGTCAAGCCATGCTGAAGAAACTCGATGGGGGGCCATACTGGATTTTGCTGGTTCAGCTGCCTAGAGCTTGGTTTTGCAAATCCAGCGAGGGATTCGTGTCTCAACAATAGATGTAGCACCCTCCCATCCCCGCACACACAAAAGTGCTTTTGCACTTGGAGTGATTTAAGAGGTTAGCCATGAAACACTTGCACTAATTTAGCCGATTGTCATGTAAAACAGAATACATTCGTCCCAGGTCACCCCTTCCCTTGTTAGATATCTGACAGCATACATTTTCTGGTGATTCAGTGGGAGAGATTTATGAGGGTTAAAATGAGAATAAACCCTGTTAATTAAAAATGTTGCATCTCAATATAAAGCTCACTTACAGTAAGCTGGAGCATGACAATAGAAAAGAGTCAATCCAGGCTTAAGAATGAAGCATTCTTGGAGATTACAGCATGGTTGTTTTTAATGCAGCAACCTCAGCCAGCGCTACTAGACTGTCTTTGCCCTGCTGAGTTGCCGTGTTACTAAGCTGCAGCTCAATGCCTGGGGAATTCCTGTGTCTCGGTATGCACGGGCTCCAATGTGCCTGAGCAACTGGAATTAAACTAGTTACTTAGCCATCGGGAAATGGCCCATATGTGCCCATCATCCCCTGTTTACTTGATTAGTTTGTTAACCACCCATGCACTTGCATATGCAACTTCTTGATTGATTAAAATCGTTTAGAATTTTGGAAGAAGAGTAGTGTTTGGTAAATTGAATTGTGGCTTTGTAAATATTAACGTTTGAAGGTGCAAGTAGCAAAAATACTCACCATACTTGAAGACATTTTCAGATACACTTTACATAGCACAATATTTAGTTTTTGGGGGATTGATAAATTTAAACAGACAAAAAGAACCAGTAGTGGCACATTTGAAAATCAAAAATTATGAATACAGTGATTATTTAAATTTTCCACATACTGCTCTTTACTTATGTACTGTTTAGAATAAAATATACAGTTCGTCACTGTTCTTTAAGTACTGATGCCATCCAACATACTGGTGAAAGCCTATTGTGATGCAATATGACAATTTAACGCAATAATGATAAATATCATCAAACATTTTTACCACCTTTTGGGATGTGTGAATGTGAACATTTGGTTTACTGGTAATTATAGCCCTGCATAATTATTCAAATGAGTTTAGCAAGAACCTTGTTTCCTAACCAGATTTGAGTCACAATGCCAGTCACTTGTTAAATAAATAAATGAGTATCTGCTTTCAATTTTTGGTTGCATCACTACAGGGTTTTCCTGGCATAAAAGGAGGTCTGTTCCAAAGGCCTTATTCATCCTTTTTCTTGCATGTCAGTTTGAATTAGATTGACAGTAAGTTGTGGCCGCACTGGAAACATGTGAGGAGAAATAGTTCGTCTTCAATAAATCATGAAGCCTCCCAGCCACTCCTCATGTGATTGTGTGTTTCTGTCAAAGGACCTGGTATATATGTCTTGGCAGCTCTTAGTCGAGGAAGAGGAATGTATTATTTTATTAATATTTTTTAATGAAATGTCACAATTTCTGTACTCATTCTTCACAGGTGAGAATGAGATTCTTGAGTCACTCCAAAAGATTGCTTCCAAGAACAAGCTGTGGAGGTCCTACATCGGAATGGGCTATTATAACTGCTCTGTGCCCCCTGTCATACAGAGAAATCTTCTGGAAAATTCTGGATGGTGTGTGGATGTTTTTTTGATTTTATGATGTGGGCTGGTTTTCCAAAAGTGGACTAAGCCTAGTCTTGGACAAAATTGCAGTGCCAGTGGTGAATCCCACCCATAATAATTTTTAGACTTAATCTGGATGTAGAAAATCAGCTGCAAAATCCAGAACCATGCAATGAAGAAAACATTATTATTGTTATGGAATATTTGTTACAGTAAGCTTTTCACATGGATTTTATAAAGCTACTCCAAATACAAGATTTAATTTTACTAGATGCCTTTATTGAGTGACATGTGGAGCAGTTTGTGTGTTTAAGAATAGCATGCCAAGCACCATTTAAATCTTGTGACTTAAATAAGGACCAACGTTTAGATCTTGTCCTATTTAAATGTTCCCAGCTATTCTTAATCTGATCTTATGATCAGTTTGTGGCTTTACTGAGGAAATATTTTTCTAATTGCATGCAAGGGCAAGTCATTTGTTTTACTAATTAGGTGCTTAGGTGCGTTATAAACAGGCTTGAGTTGCTCTTCTCTTCTAAATCTCTATCCTCTCACAGGGTAACACAGTACACCCCCTACCAGCCCGAGGTCGCGCAGGGTCGTTTGGAGAGCCTACTTAACTACCAGACCATGGTGTGTGACATCACCGGTATGGCAGTGGCCAACGCTTCACTTCTGGATGAAGGCACTGCAGCTGCTGAGGCCATGCAGCTTTGTCACAGGTTAGTACACCGGTGGAAGAAGATGAAATGTTTCGGTGAAATGTTGTTATCCTTGCCTTTGTGGCTGATTTGACTGCTTCATGTCCTCAGGCAGAACAAGAGAAGAACGTTCTACATTGATCCCCGTTGTCATCCACAGACTATTGCAGTGGTGCAGACCAGAGCCAAGTATGTCACTTTTAATTAGCTTTAGTATTAACTTGGACAGTGTATTAGGTCCAGGAGCACTACATGTATACTTCTGTCTATATTAATTTCTGACGAATATGTATACTTTTAGCTATATTGGGGTGAAGGCTGTGCTGAAATTGCCTCATGAGATGGACTTCAGTGGGAAGGACGTTAGTGGGGTGCTCTTCCAGTACCCTGATACTGAAGGAAGAGTGGAGGACTTCTCTGCACTTGTGGATCGGGCCCACAAGGGTGGGGTAGGTACTAATATGATCGTGAAAGTATTGAACTTGCCAGCAGTAATTTTTCATTGTAAATAATGTAACTAGCTGTGTAGATAATGTTACTTTTCCATATTTGCCTTAAAGGACACTGATTCTTTTGGTACTTGTATTCAAAATGTTAATGGCACATGAAATGGTTTTATCAGTCTTGTTCCAAAAGAAGGGTGTGATAACCTTTGTTGTGTGGATGTCATTTTGCATTCACTGCTTTTGACTGTCAGATATCACATGCTTTAAAGAGCCCAAATCCCATTTTTTCTTATTTTTCTAACTAATGTCTTCATATAATATTCAAGAGAGTTTATGTACCAGTCATTCATTTTTACGTATCTGTTGTCGAACCTCTGTTCTGTCCCATAGAATTGCACAAATAATTTTTGTTCAGTTACAAGTTAAAAGTTGTTTTTGTTTTGTTCCTTTAAGATTGATACATGTAAATCTGCTCTGTTATCACTGGCTGCACTGTATTGTGCCTCATTCTAAAAGCAGCTCAGGCTGAAACACTCCTTAAGTTCAGCTTGAACTGGAAGTGCAGGCATAATGGGCTGATATGTCAGCTTGTTTAGTTTTCATGACATCCATATCATTCAATGAATGGTATAATATGATCCCTTTAAAACCGCCAAACATTTATTTTGTGTTACATTTCGATTAAAGGCATTGGCTTGCTGTGCTACTGATTTGCTGGCCCTGTGTGTCTTGCGTCCACCTGGTGAGTTTGGAGTGGACATTGCTTTGGGCAGCTCCCAACGTTTTGGAGTGCCTCTCTGTTACGGCGGACCTCATGCTGCTTTCTTCTCAGTCAAAGAAAATCTGGTCAGGATGATGCCAGGAAGGATGGTTGGAGTCACTAGGTAAGCTTCTATAATATGATTTTGGCCTTTGGTATGTTATTTGTTTTATTATTATTATTTGTTGTATTCTTGCCTGCACTCTCAGACAAAAGGTACTGTCACTGGTGTTATGTTATCAAAGGTACAAATATTTACTATTTCACTGTGAAAAAACTTACTTAAGGCACACAGTTACACTGTGTGTGGTGGGGGCTTTATCTTCTTTTGGAGTATTTTAAAATTCACACAGCCCTTGCCTTCTCTTTCACAGGGATGCTGCAGGTAAAGAGGTGTATCGTCTCGCACTTCAGACTAGAGAGCAGCACATCCGGCGAGACAAAGCCACCAGCAACATCTGCACTGCTCAGGTGCAGGACTGTCCTCAAAGAGAATCACATGATTCTACATGTCAAGTTGTCAGTTAGTGACTCACCTTATTTACATCTCTTCCCTTTTAGGCTCTTCTGGCGAACATGGCAGCCATGTACGCACTGTACCATGGCCCACAAGGCCTGAGGCACATTGCTGAGAGGACGCATAATGCAACCCTGATTCTTGCCGAAGGTATTTCACACTATAATGTATTAGTCATTTTGTTCATCCTCTAACAAGTACTAGCACATCTTATTTCCTGCCACAACAGGGCTTATTAGAGCTGGACACAAGCTCCAGCATGAAACCTTTTTTGACACACTGAAGATTCACTGTGGTGTGGCTGCCAAGGACATACTAGAGAAGGCCGTACAGCGTCAGGTTAATTTGCGAGTCTACAGTGAAGGAGTGGTAAGACGTCACACGTTTGCTTTAAGCATGTACTCATTTGAAGCTTTTAATGACACATAAGCCTATTTATAAACACTGAAAAATTTGGTTTCAGCTTGGTGTGTCTTTGGATGAGACGGTTACAGAAAGAGACTTGGATGACTTGCTCTGGATCTTCGGATGTGAATCCTCTGCTGTACGTGTGCACAAAAGTCTAATCTGAGAAATTAAATGATTACTACTAGTTCTTCTAATCAGTTTACTATTAGCATATTATGAGATTAATCACACAGTAAACAATAGTTTAATACACTGTCTGCTGTTTAACTTCTTCTGTAACTGTCCTTTTTAGGAACTTATTGCTGAGAAAATGAGTGAGAGAACAAAAGGTCTGCTAGCAAGTCCTTTTAAGAGGACCAGCAAATTCCTCACCCACCCAGTGTTCAACAGGTATGCTATGATGTCTTTAGGAAATTGTCATTAGGGCTGTCATGAGTAATCAATGAAATTATATTACTCCATTTAAAAAAACAAAAAAAACAAAACAAAAACAAATCGCCTTAGTGATTAGATTGCAGTTTGATTTAGTAAGTGTATCTGCAGGTCAAAATAAAGCCATATTTGGCATGCTAAAGATTGTCAACAAGGTGGGAGCATTTATCATTCAAATTGATTTCGTAAGCATCACTGAGAGAGAGGAAACTCAAACCAGCAGGGTCTCACAAATGCGTGTATGGTGATGTTACTCAGGCTGCTTAGAAAGTGAAGATTTCTGCAGTAAGCACTGCACTTTTCATCTTTTTTTAGTTAAGTATTTTGGAATCTTTAAAAATCTCTGCACAGTATATTATTGTTCAGTGTTCAGTTATTGTTTGGCCTTGAAAAAACAGGGAAAGATTACTCTATTTTCAGTTAAAATAATCAGTAGATTACTTGCCTCCTCAAATAATCAATCATGACTTCCCTACATGTCTTGAGTGTGATCGGGTCAGATTAAAATGCTGACTGAGTATTTATCTGGCCGTGAAGTAGGGAGGCCTTAGCCATCTGCAGCTTAGGCTGTAAATGAATGCTGTCATTCAGTGAACTTCAGGGACTGGACAAAATGCAGTGATCTTTGAAACTAGAAATACTTGATTGTGTTGTAACTGCCATTTCACAAGTATAATATAATTGCAGCAAGTTATATGAGTGGATTAACTGTGATTAAATGGTTTAATCTGCGTTCAATCATGATAAGAGTGTCATTTAATACTGTCTAGGGAACTGTCTGTTCCAGTTCTTGTGTATCATCAGATTTCATTTTGCTCTACTCAGTTTATTATTAGCATAAAGTGAAGTTATTGTACAAAAGTTTATTAGCTTATGCTTTGCACTTACAGCTATCACTCGGAGACCAACATTGTGCGATACATGAAAAGACTGGAGAATAAAGACATTTCACTTGTGCACAGTATGATTCCCTTGGTAAGTAGTTAATAGATCAGCTTTGCTTCAGATTACATGTCATTGCCTCTTTGTAAACATCACATTAAAACTGTGCTTAAATGCAGGGATCCTGCACTATGAAGCTGAACAGCTCCTCAGAACTCATGGTGAGTCATGGTTCTTCTGACCTACAAAATCCTGGAAGGTGTTTATGTTGTCAGGTTTATCTTTGGGTCAACTATAAGAATACATGCTGTCTATGCCCTACATGATTTGGAATGTGTAGCCCTGCCCCTCATTGTTTCTTTAAAAGGCCAGTCAGTTTTGGCTTTCTTTGCTCTTTTATTGATCCTCATTCAGTCAGTATGTTAATGTGAATGCTTTTCTCACTTGTTGACAGCCAATCACATGGCAGGAATTTGCTAATATCCACCCTTTTGTGCCGCTGGACCAGGCTGAGGGTTATCAACAGCTCTTCCGCCAGCTGGAGAAAGATCTTTGCGAGATCACAGGATATGACAAGATCTCCTTCCAACCAAATAGGCAAGCACTAAACCTGCTACTGTACTGTGAAATAAAGTACCTCACATTGTAACTCATGTTAATATTGGGCTGTTACTAAGGGCATGATTTCATTACAGTATCCAAAAAAAAAGAAAAGAGTACTGAAATGCAAAACTAACACAATGCATTCTTCAGTTTCTTCCACGGGTCACTCTTTTGCCATGTTCTGTGGAAATCGCTGGCATTCAGAACTAGGCATCTGAACGCATTGTGTCAGAGTAAAGTGGGTGGTGAGGGGGAGGAACTAACGCTATGCACACATCCATGCTCAAGTTGCTTATGAATTGTAGGGCTTTGTGATTATTTTTTTTTAATTAATTTATTTTTTTCTCTATTTGAGCCTCTCAATTAACATGTACAGGTAATAATAATAAAAAACAGACTGGAGTAAATAAGGTACTAATTTTAATACTGATTTGTATTAAACAAATTTATAAGAAAAATTAAACAAGCCAGCCTACCATGAAGGCAGATCTTCCTTCCTCTTTGCCTCATTAGCGAGAGCAGGGAAGAAAAGCACACTCCTTGTTAGAATATTAGTCTGAGGCCAACATATTAGCTTGTGTCGAGTGCACTATTATAAAAATGCCATACTTTTTATAATGTTGAATGCTCTAAAAACTTAAAATGAAAACATTCAAAATATATCAAATTTGAGACACCACCGTATTGTATTGAACTGAATTATACATTTTGTTAATTGTTACAACTCATAATAATTAGAACTTTATAGCATCAAGACATTTTCACACCTTGAATGAAATATTGATGTCAGAATCAAAAATCATATAGATGTGACCAATGTGTCATTATACACTGAACACTTTGTTTTAAAGTCAGTTTGCTGCAATAAAATTGAGTTCATTGAACTTTTACTAAATACTAAGTTAACAGTAAATAAGACAGTTATGAGCAAAACCCTGTCTTATAACGTATTTAGTAAAAGTTCAATGAACTCAATTTTATTGCAGCAACAGTAAGACCAACATTTTTATAGTTCACACCTTACCTGTTAATATTACTTGATGGTAAAGTAATTTATGTGCAATTTTTAATCAGGTTATTGTGACAGCCCAGTATTAGTATCAAACATTATAATTTGCTGTAGTCAGTAGAATTAGTCTCAGAATTAGGAAATAAGGTCATTCTGATGACCACCCTAAGAACGTATGCAGTAGTCATTCTTTACCTTAATGTTCTTGGCACCATCGAAAGTTTCGGTTTATTATTAGCTATGTTGTTCTAAAAAGAAAAGAGTCAATGGAACACTTGTTCTTCCTGTAGACAGATAATCTCTTTAATGGGTGTTAATATTTGAAACAGCAAAGATAATCCTGACACAGAATGCTTAATTGCCTGTAGATGTCTGTCATTTGGTTATTTAACACTTAACACGGTATCTTTGCCATGCTGTACTTTATCCTCACTGAAGTAAGCTAATGCCCTCGAGAAGGACCTTGTGAAGTGATCTTTGAACTGTGATCTGCTGAGGCAGAGGTTGTCACTGGTGTCAATCAGAATGTTGGGTTTCTTTGCCTTTCAGTGGTGCCCAGGGAGAGTATGCTGGCCTGGCTGCCATCAAAGCCTACCTGAATTCCAAAGGAGAGTCACACAGAACAGTGAGTATCTACACTGTGGGTGGCAGAAACTGATCAAAAACAAGACCCAATTGATCAATACACAGAGGAACATTGTGAATGGAGGAAACCAGAGTTGCACCCTTGTAGCATTTATCCAGAGATCTGCCTGTATTCTCTGTAGAAAGAGATAAGCATAATCAAACCACTCAGTGGCCAGTACCAAACAAATGAGTGGTTTCACCTGTCTGACCTGTCGTTTCATTAGAATTGCACTGTTAGCATCTGATACTGTTCTTGGAATAGATTTTATTTGTAACTAGAGCATGTATTCCATTTGAGAGTGGACTTGAAGCTGCTGCACTCTTTGTGAAATGAGCGGACTACCTTGTGGTAGAAAAGGATGGTAAAGTTAAAAGAAACTGCTGAACAGTTGCAAATGCAGGTATTGTTAGTGACAGGAAAAAAAGCACAAGATGTGTAAGATAAGGTCACTTGTTCAAGTTGTTCGAGCATTTTGTAATCTGGCCTTTGTTTTAACAACTCCCTAATAAGCACATCTTAGATAGCCGGTCGAGCTCCTGAAACAGTCAAGGTCCAAACTGCCATGGTTGAGCAAATAAGAGATAGAAAACAACCGCCAGATTCAGAAGGTTAGCACACTTCACTTCGATGCAAGATTCCATATTTGGTGATTTTGTTAAAGCAGAGACCTCACTGGCATTGACTGATCAGTTTGAGTTTAGTCATTCACAGAAGGTAACCAAACACCAACTGATTTCTGTGCCATGGTGTCATTGTACAGAACGTACAAATTTTGTTTTCTGTGTTTTATTGCATTAGGGATCTTAAGACATGTTAGAATTTGCAGTGTTATTCAGGATGTTATATAAATGTACCCATAGCTGTTTTTGGAAACTGTATGGATTGTATGAAAGGTAATTTCAGTCATTATTGAACCACTAACTTTAGCATGTTACTATTTTTAGTGAACATTATGATCATAGGAAACTATTATCATAGCAGGACACTTTTTATTGCTCTCCTGTAGTGCTGACAAGCATGACCTATTGTAACCTACTGTACTATATAATTATGCAATTTTTTATGACTACACAGCACTGAAAGTAACTAAGCTGCTGTCCTGTCTGAATTCCAGGTGTGTCTAATTCCTAAATCAGCTCATGGTACCAACCCTGCCAGTGCTCAGATGGCTGGTATGAAAGTTCAGGTGGTGGAGGTAGACAAAGACGGCAATATTGATGTGGTTCACCTGAAGGCAATGGTACAGTACATTGTGATATTTAAGTGTCTATTCTGATACTGTCATGGTCAATCAGTTTGGAGCGGTACTATGAAATAAATAAATAAAAATGTATTCATTTTTAAATTAATAAATTAATTACATCTGTGGCAAACACAAAAGAAAAACTGACAAGTGAGTCCCTGTCTTCAATTTTTTACCCAGGTGGACAAACACAAGACAAACTTGGCAGCCATAATGATCACATATCCCTCAACAAATGGTGTGTTTGAGGAAAATGTCAGTGAAGTGTGTGAGCTCATTCACCAGAATGGTGGACAGGTGTATCTGGATGGGGCCAACATGAACGCACAGGTGAGATAAGAGGAACAAGTCAGTCAGTGTTTTTTAGTAGTGATGTCAAACCCTAAACTCTGATTCAAACATGATTTGATTCAATTTAAGTGTAGCATTTTCAACAAATTGCTTTGGGGTCTCAAAGAAAAGTCATGCAAATAGCCCAAACAAGATTTCATTACATTACACTGTTTGGAAATGTTTTACCATGTTTTTGTATATGCCATAAGAAGAACAAGCTGCTGATCTGGGATCAGGATGTTTTGAGCCAAAATACACCTAAACAAGAGTCGGAAAATCCTATTTGTGACTGTTGTCAACATGACATGACCCAATTTGCTGCACCCTTGCAAACATTAAAAATGATGCAAAGGAAAGCAATGTCCCTTTTTTATTTAGTTAAATTGTATTTATTTATTTGGAGAAAAGACACACCAAATTGCATTTCATTATTATTATAATTATTGTTTTGTTACTGTTTTGAAGATCATTAAATAGCACATGGTCAATAATCCTGGATTAAATGGAATGGAAAAGATCATGCTTCTTAATAAATTATTGATTCTTTATTGTTCAATTAAAAAAAAAGTCCCAAGCCCAGTTCCACAAGTACTCTTTTCATAATTTGTACAGCAAAAAAACACAATCATTAACATACTCACAAATTCATGGGTTTATTTAAAAATACAAAAACATACTGTTCTCTGTACACTGTCTTATCATGGACATATTTAGTTCAATGTGAAACAAAACCCTATAATTTAAATAGTATTTCACACTTGCCTCAGTTAAATAACCATCAGTACTTTCCTTTTTTTCATTATCTGATAAAGAGACTGAATTTATGATGAATGTTTTGTAACTATCATAAACGTTTTTTTTCTATTGTATATCAGAAAGGGTTTGTATTGAGTACTGTACTTGGCCACCAGATGTCACTGGAGGAAACGCTTTGAAAGATGGAGTCTTTTTACGACTTGTTTCATTTGCTTCTACCTTTCAAAACCACCACTAATGACATCACTAGTTATCGTAACAAGGATGCCCAGCATAGAGGATACTCCTCTACAGAGTTTACCTTAGAAATCGACATTAACAGGTCTATGTTTATGTTCACACCATGTCATACCAGGTGGGATTGTGTCGGCCAGGAGATTACGGCTCAGATGTTTCTCACCTGAATCTTCACAAAACTTTCTGTATTCCTCATGGAGGTGGAGGTCCAGGCATGGGTCCTATTGGAGTGTAAGTGTTTTTCATCTTCCAAAAATAAATATCTGCAGTTGGTGGTGTTGTATTGTGGTGCATAGCTTGTTCACTATTTTTGCTGTTCTCACACATTTCAGTGTCTATGCTCAGTTTGACTTGAGCTTGGTAATTGGACAATAACACTGGACTGTTTTGTTTCAGGAAGCAGCATCTTGCCCCGTTTCTACCAAGCCACCCAGTGGTGAACATGCAGTCTAGCAACACAGTTAGCTCTCTGGGCACAATCAGTGCTGCCCCCTGGGGTTCCAGTGCCATCTTGCCCATCTCTTGGGCCTACATAAAGGTAGATTTTTGAAAACTGTTATTTCTAGGGAAGAAAAAAAAGGTTGTCTACAGAATGCAATGCTGAATCAGTGTTGCAGAGCTAATTATGAAATACATTTTCCATTTTTTTTTACTCCACATTATTTAGATGATGGGCTCAAAAGGCTTGAGGCATGCAACAGAAGTGGCCATCCTTAATGCAAACTATATGACCAAGAGACTAGAAAGCCATTACAAAATCCTGTTTAGGGGCTCTAAAGGTGAGTAGCGATGTTATTTGAATAATATGCTATGGCTGCGTAACTCATGTCACATCTTGATATTGTTTTACTGAACATCAAAAACTTTCTTCACAGGGTTTGTTGCTCATGAATTTATTTTGGATGTTCGACCATTCAAGAAGACTGCAAACATCGAGGCAGTGGACATTGCCAAAAGACTGCAGGATTATGGTACAGATAACATCCTTCTGAAAACTCCTCAGTCAGTTTCATCCTGATGCAAATGATAGTTTTGTAATAAATGTTCTGAAACGTTTACTAGGCTTCCATGCCCCTACCATGTCGTGGCCTGTGGCTGGAACTCTGATGATTGAGCCAACAGAATCGGAGGACAAGGGCGAGATGGATCGTTTCTGTGATGCCTTGGTGGCCATTCGACAGGAAATTGCAGACATTGAAGAAGGCAGGATGGACTCTAGGGTTAACCCACTAAAGGTAGGGAATCAAGGGGGGAACTGAGCCTACTGACTAGTACATGATCCCACAAATGCATTCTTTTATGGCAACTGTTGAGGCTGAAAAAGCTTTACTGAAAGTTGGGGGAAAAGTTCTATCTAATGAACAGAGAGACTAGTTATTATTTTTTTCTCAAAAATACATGAATTATTTGTACTAGATGGTTACAGTTTTCATCTTAAAATGTAAAGCTATTCAGATTTACTATATCGCTGCTGTCAGAAGAAAAGCTCATATCTCCATTTTTGTCCTTTTTCAGTTTTTGACGTAATTTGAAAATGCCTGTTGCCCTTTACATTGTGTCTACATTTCATGAAAAATGAACCAAAAGAAATGGCCCAGAATTACTTGAAAAAGTATGGTTTCATTGACTTACATTACAAGTAAAGTAGGTTTTTCCTTTTCCTGTAAAGTTATCATTTTGGAGATATAAGGTTTTCTTCCGACAACAGCGATACGTTGTTGTAGCCAATCTAAACCTGGCAGGTTGGAAACAATGACAAATTTGCCGCCATGCTAACATTATCTCAATTTCAAAATTCACCTTATAGATACTTGCAGTATAACTGCTCACTTGTACACAAATTGAAGACATGAAATAGTAAATACACCCTAAATTTAGTTATTGGAAAAAGATGTGCTACAATTTCTCATTAGGTTGAATGGGATTTTTGTCAGTGTTCAATGCTTGTAGGTGGAGTGTGGAGAAATTAACTGGCCAGTGAGAAATAATTCTGAACTGTACATTTTGAGCCTTGTACAATGAGGCATCTTTGGTCATTACAGCAGCCAGTTACAAAGTATCTGTGGTTATAGAGAGCTCAATGCAACAACTTCATCGTTGTATTTTTGTCCACAGATGGCTCCCCATTCACTGGCATGCATTGCTTCATCCACATGGGACAGACCCTACTCCAGGGAGTATGCTGCTTTCCCCATGGTATGTGGCGTATGCCTTTAGATTTGTCTTGTATAGAGGACACAAGGTGGAACAAAACTGAAATCTTCATGCTTATTTGCCTATTTTAATTCTGTAATCTGATGTTGCTGAGTTATTTTTGTACTTTTCCAGCCTTTTGTGAGACCCGAGACCAAGTTCTGGCCCACGATTTCAAGGATTGACGATATCTATGGTGACCAGCATCTTGTGTGCACCTGTCCCCCCATGGAGGTCTATGAATCTCCGTATGAAGAACGAGCCTCCTCGTGACCACCTCCCAGCAACATCCCAGTCACAGTCTTCCAAATGATCCATCTCTAGCAGATTCATCTCTCCATGCTCTTGGTGCCTCACTTCTCATCCTGCGTTCACTGTACAAATAGTTTCCTTCCCTTTCTTTAGCTCTCCGTTGCGCTACTAAAAAACAAAATCGGCATCTGGCTCATATTTAGTGATCAACTTGTATAGGTTTTGGTTTTTATATTTGTTCATTCCATGTATGAAATGTTCAATGTATGGATTTTGTTTCAACTGTATGTAGGCATAACAAACTGGCCCAGTTCTCAATGTTGACCTTAAATTTTTTAGATGTAACCTTTTCTAATTATTTAAGAAATTTAATAAATGTTTTAAAGGTACATCTGTGAGTGAGCACTTCATTAAACAATTCCAAAAATATATATGATGTAATAAAAACACTGTTTTATGTAGGAATAGAGTTTAAATGTGTTTCATACTGGCTGTCATTTCTCTTCTTCCACAAATTGCCAACAACTATTCCCAAGAATAACAGAAGTCCCAAGTTACGGTTGGAGGCAAATTTCTTCCAGCAGTCATCAGGCTTGTTGAAGTCCAAAGAATAGATCTACGGATTGTCACATTACAACTGTTCATTAGTCACAGCTTCTTACAATATTTAAGCTTTACAATGTGTTGTCTAATTCAAGACCTAAGACTAATAAAAAGCATGTGGAACAGATTCAACAATATCGTTTAGCACTAACCTGATGTGCTAAATGAACAGCCACTGTGGAAACTGCTGCATAGTAAGGAAGGGTCTGGTCAGCATTAACCCCTGCTAGCACCAGTCCAGACAGCATAGCCACAGAAAAGGCGCTAAGCCATGGCTTTGTCTGCTCCTGGAATTTGAGGGCTGTGGACTTTACGCCCAACTTAATATCATCATCTTTGTCCTGCTCAACAGAGAACATGACAAAAACAACATAAGCTTATAAACTACACAAACCAGATTTTGCTATTGTAAACGAGCAAATATGACATGTTAAAGTAGTACTTGATGGGCGTAGATAGTGTCATATATCAATGTCCACATGACGCCTGAGAAATACAGTGGTAGACAGATGGACCAGTCACAAGATCCCATCACAGCAGACCAGCCAAGCAAAGCCCCCCAGTTAAAGGTAAGACCTGACAAAAAAGTTGACATTTTCACTTGAATGCATTAAATTGAATATAAAAAACATGCTTAATTTTTTATGGTGGATTTTAATTTTTGCTGAAAGTTTTGTTGCACACACCTAAGACAAGCTGAGGCCAGTATGTTATTCTCTTCATTAGAGGGTAGCTGACAACCAGGGATAACGAAGCAGCACCAAGAGCTATGCTAAAAAAAAAAAGTTTTTTTTTTAATATACAAAATAATGACCAGCTTATACAAAATAATTAGGCAATTTCAGCACATTTTAGTGGTTTCCCTGCTTTAACACACCAACTTTGTCTCAGGAAGGGTTTGTTAATTAGCTAATTAGTTGGATCAGGTGTGTTGGAGCAGGTAAACATGCAGAGCAGGAGTACTCCTGGACCAGGACCATCTCACGAAGCAGGATTTCTTGCTTAGCCAGGTAACTGTAAGCTATAAGTTCTATCTATCCCTGGATTACTGGGCTACATCACCATGGGAACTTATGCTGCATGCCTAACTTGCTCCAGGGTAGGTTAAGATTAGGATTTTGGGTCATAAACAGCTCCTGGATCAATCAGAGCAAGCTTCTGTGTGGTTTTTGAAGCTGAAACTTAGTCAGGAACCCTGTCAAAGTTGATTTCCCTTCATGATACAGGCATCTGGGTTAGGAGCCACTGGATTAAGTTATACCAATTGAACACTTTTATGGTATCGACCAAATTACTTACCAAAATACTACCAAGTACTGAAAAATTCTGCCATTCAAAACCAAATGCGATTTTTTTCATTAAAAAATGTAAATAATAATAGGATTTATGCAAAAAGAGTATGGTAATTTTCTTTTTGTAAAAATATTTTTTACAATTGTTCCGTTATGTTTTGTGTTTTTTTTTTTTCCAATTTAAAAAGGTATCAAAAATTCAGTATCAGAAATGAAGGTATTAGTATTGGTATCAGTACTGAAGCATTTTGATCCAGCCCTACATATAAGGGAAAACTAGGATCATTAAAAATGAATATACAGAGACACACAATCAGAGATGTTTCAAAAGGTGTAGTACCTGTAATAGTTGAGACAGAGCAGGACCCCCAGTGCTAGACTCAGTTGACCCCCCAAAAACACCAGAGCCTGGAAGCGAGAGATCTGACCTGCAGCTATGGGCCGCGTGGCTGTCCGGGACACCTAAAGGGAAAATGAGTTTATATATGACACCTTCTTATCTCCTACACTATCAGAATGGAATAAGCCAAAAGCTATTTTGAAGGAATCACATTAGTATTCATCATCATCAAAACACTGCCTGATATTGTTTAAAAATCAAGCTGTTTAAAGGAACTGCAAGAGAGAGGCAAACTAAGTTTGAAACTAAGTCCAGCAGCCTGAGCTTTCCTGATCCTTCAGTGAATAGTGGCTACTGAAGCAAAGAGGGTCAATCACAAGGTCATAAGGTGAAGCTGCCAGAGAACTTTAATGCAAGTTGATTTGTTACAGTTCCAGTAAACTGTTCTCATGTTCACGTGACACGTGTGGTTCCAGCCAGTTTTTTTTTTATCGGAACAGTACTGAGGGAGTATCAGTGTAAAGAGCTCGGTACTGCAATGGTGGTTTTTGTTAGGAACTTTAGATCGTTACGCCTAATTCTTGTGTTAATTAAGATAGAAGTTAAGTAGTAGTTCTAGACAAGCAGATACCATTATTTCCATAAATAGCACCAACAGAAAGGTAACCCCAGTTTAAAATGTGACAAGAATGTTGCTTTCAAAGGGACCTATATTGCTTTTAAACTGCTTAGGAAGAAGATCCATTCCTGCGTTCATACACATGCAAAAGTGTTTTGTTGATTTGTTGAAAGTGAAAATAAGTGAACAAATCCTCTACAGAGAACTCATTTCTGCACATTTTAATGCACAATTGCTGTTTTTTTCTTTTTCTTAAAAAACATAAAACAAGCATGGCACATTTTATAGTTTATGTTTATTCCAATATGTTAAACTTTAAATAATAACTAGAAACTGTGCATTACAATTTGCATAAAAGTCCATATTTTAGTGTGTTCTTTGTAGAGGATGTGTTAACTTATTTTCACAAATCAACAAAACATGCCGTTTGAATGGGGGTGTTTAACCCTTTCCGTGTGATTGTGGATGAAAATTTTTGGATATTGGATATCAGATATCGGCATCTGACCCGAATTCCAATATCCGTGCAATCGTAGTCATCGGTGAGTTTTGGGTGAAAGAGTCACAGAGCAACTTGAGACTCCTGCCCCTCACCCAGAGAGAGAGAGAGAGAGAGAGACAGACAGACATACACAGAGAAATACTTTCTCCAACAACCATATCAGAAGTGTTTGTCACACCTTATCAATACTCCAATTATTACTCATTTATAACAGCTTTCTGTTTAGAATGGAGGGAATTGAGGGAATCCCTAGTTATGACACATACCTTCTTGTCAAAGTCTTTGTCCCACATGTCATTGATGGTGCAGCCGGCTCCTCTCATCAGCAGAGCCCCAGTGCCAAACAGTGCGAGCATGCGCAAGTCAGGGAGGCAGCCTGGGTCTGCAGCCAGCCCAATACTCCATGTACACGGCAGGTACAGTAGCCATGTGCCTACCAGCACAAACAACACAACCCCACACAAGACAGGACAGTTAGCTGTAGCTTTTGAGAGTGATTAATGCCAATTAGATGCAGAAGGAGGAGCTACTTTACATTATACGGGCGTACATATTGTATATAATACCTTTTACTGTTTGTCAGGCACGTCCCATTACTAGTTCTAAAAAGCAGCTAAAATATGTTAATTTAGTTATTTCTCTTTAAATATCCTATGTTTATTAAAATTATTAATGATTACAACTAAGGATTACACAATTAAAATAGATAACTTAATTTTGAAAAGCAATTAAATTCCACAAGAGAATTTGTTTGACTAGGTCTGGGCTGAACAGCTGGGCAGACAGCTAACAGGCTAACAGGCTCCTCCAATAATATTCAATTAGGCTTAAATGAAGGATTCACTGTAAAACTGAAACATACAAAGAATATGCCACCTGAATGTTACAAGCTATAAATAAATCCAGAATCCATGTTTAAATAGCGCTGGCTGGGTGGTACTCATAAAGTGAATACTTCTATATTAAATGCTGCTCTATAATGATAAACACAGCTGTGACAGATTCACAAGCTGACTGGTTCCAAGAAGCACAAATGATTTCTCAAAACTTCACAGATTTTGGCATTAAATTAATTAAAAAGCGTTCATTTATAAAGCATATATTCTCCTTCTGGTCTGTATTGCATTAAGAAAAAGAGCCCCTTTCTAGGCATTATTTGCCACACACTGTTTGATATTTGAAGTATTTTGGAAAGTTAGCATAGACTCAGCGTACTATGTTATTGTTCAGTTAAGCCTATATTTAATGTGTGGCCTTAAAAAAAATCACAGATTACTTGATTCATTGTCAAAATTATCAGTAGGTTACTCAAATATTAATAGATTGGATAATGAGTGACAGCCTAATTTAGTATTTTTATCATTATTATTATTATTATTATTATTATTGTTAAGAACAGACATTCGGATTTGTAACATCCATCCATCATCTAAACCGCTTATCCTTCTGGGTCGCGGTGGGGTGCTGGAGCCTATCCCAGCTGTCATCGGGCGGAAGGCAGGATACACCCTGGACAGGTCGCCAGTCCATCGCAGGGCAGACAAACAGACATATACATCCACACACACACCTAGGGGCAATTTAGCATGTCCAATCAGCCTGACTGCATGTTTTTGGACTGTGGGAGGAAACCGGAGTACCCGGAGGAAACCCACGCAGACACGGGGAGAACAGGCAAACTCCACACAGAAACGACCCTGGTCACCCGGCCGGGAATCGAACCCAGGCCATTCTTGCTGTGAGGCGACAGCGCTACCCACTGCGCCACCGTGCCGCCTTGGATTTGTAACAAAAACATGACAGCATGACTGGTATCAGTTTTTTATCAACTCACCTATGGGTTTGTCCAGTCTCATTAACCGGAGATACGGCTGCACAGACGATGGGGCTGCGTTTACTATCCCAGCAGGTGTGAGGCTGAAAGACCTTTTGCTCGAAAGTCCATAGTCATGGCCAGCCAGTGACCCCACTCTCAGCTTCCAAAAGTCTCTCTTGAAAAAACAGAGTCCTGATGGAAACCCAGCTGCAGTGTGATCTTTCTTGTCCTTCTGGATACTTGACAGATAGGAGTAACAGGTCTGTGGTGCAATTCTCCTTACTGGATGTGAGTTCAGCAGTGTCACCAGTCTGGTGGACATCATGTTGTCTGTTGTGACAACGAGAGCTACCTACATTTCAGAAACATCTGCAAAAGATACCAATGCAGGCATTGTGCTTTTCTTCATTCACATGCAAATCATCACCATTCTACACACTCATGAAGGATTAACAATAGAAACAGCAACTTCAGTGAATACTGTTGTGTCTTTTCTTTGACTGCTGCTGTGTAAACCCATGTTTAAACCACATATTGGTCTCTGTCATGACCGAACATCTCCATCATATTTCTAATTCAACCAAATGAGCCACTTTAAACGGTACAAGAAAGTGTTCTTTGTGTGATGCTACAGAAGAACCACTTTTTGTTAACTTATGAACCATTAAGAACCAACCAGTGAGGTACCTTTATTAAAGTTTACAGAACCTCCATGTAATGTACAGGTTCTACGAAGAACCTTTAAACTGGTATCTAACCTTTGCATCATGTGAAACTTCTCCACACTTGCAAATCTCTTTTTCAACAAAGCTGCATCTCTTACCAAAGAAACAGATCTACAGTAATTCGAGGGATGAACGACTATATATTGGAAACACATCACTATAGGCAGATAAAAAGAAAAATTCTCAGCTTAAAACGCATTTTAAACCAATAATGATGACAAATTTATTGTACTCTGGAAGAACAGAACATTCAGATGATGATGGGCTGCTGTGCTAAAATTTCTGTATTTTACCCATTTTGCTGCATTTTTAACTGTATAGAAATAAATGCTGTATTTCTCTGTAAATCCAAGTAGAAGTAGTCTCAATATCTACATTTTATGAATGTTTAGGTATGGACAAAGGTACATAAGTACATGAAAAATATTGGAAATCAGCCCACAATTCCCATATCAGTGCATCCCTAAGTAATAATAAGACATAATAAGATTTCTATAGTGCTGTATAATACTTCAATAGTAATCTGTGATATTTTCACCCCATATAATTTTCTTGTAGGCCTGTCTTGTAGTAATCTATAATATTTTATTTTGTGTTAAGCCTTATAGCTCTTACGGGAATCCTGTAGAAATCACTGTTGTATGACTATAGACCTTTTCCATAAGAGATATATCTTTGAATGTTACAATCTAGGCATGTCAGAAATTAATACATACCGGTCATTTACAAAGGCCATCATAAAGCTACTTCCCATATTTTAACATTGACTAGGGCTGAATTTCAAATCGCTCCATAATCCCTGTATAGTGCACAGCATAGGTCTACGGCTTCTACACCGAAACGGGACACTGACGTTAAATGTTAATAAAGTGTTGAATATTAATGATAATGAGTCGCGCAACATTTGGTTGAATATATATGTTTGACATATAATGTTCATTATGGGTGCAGAATCCGTTATTTCATGACCTACCTAATGCACTACATAGGGTGTAGGGGCCGTTTGAACGACAGCCTCAGAATGACAGCCCAGCTACGTCAGGTCAGCTAAAGCGATAGTTTGGTTTACTAGCCGTGTTTATTCGCTCTACGTACGAATTAAATTAATTCTAAACACCTAACATGTAGACAGTGTTTACAGTATTTTAACAAGTGTTTATCGTTCAGGATGTACTTACACCGCCCTTACAACACAACCGCGCACAGCCTCACATGAAGGTGTTTTTTGTGCAGTAGTTTTCATTGTCCCCCCGGAAACATTGAACTGATAATGGGTTCCGTTTGACTGAGCAAAATACTACGACAAGTTAAAACATGGAGATATTCTCGGTTTATTATGTGCTTTTATACTTTTAAAATATGCTTTTAATACGTGTTATTATACCATCTACTAGTAATTTTATTGTGCCGTCACTTGCTGATACATTTTATCTCATTACTCAACACTGGCAGCGCTTCGTCTGGCTTTCAGCGACCTCATGTGGTCGTTTGCAAAAGTTACACAAAAATGTTTTGTAAATATACACGCAACACATGCGTGCAGAAAACTAGGGAACGGCTGTAAAAGTATTCGCTCATCTGCCTTCTCATGCATAGGAACTTGAGTGACATCCCATTCTTAATCCATAGGGTTTAATATGATGTCGGCCCACCCTTTGCAGCTATAACAGCTTCAACTCTACTGGGAAGGCTTTCCACAGGGTTTAGGAGTGTGTTTATGGGAATTTTTGACCATTCTTCCCGAAGCGGATTTGTGAGGTCAGACACTGATGTTGGACGAGAGGGCCTGGCTCACAGTCTCCGCTCTAATTCAGAGGTCAGGACTGTGCAGGCCAGTCAAGTTCTTCCACACCAAACTCGCTCATCCATGTCTTTATGGACCTTGCTTTGTTCACTGGTGCGCAGTCATGTTGGAACAGGAAAGGGCCATCCCCAAACTGTTCCCACAAAGTTGGGAGCATGAAATTGTCCAAAATCTCTTGGTTTGCTGAAGCATTAAGAGTTCCTTTTACTGGAACTAAGGGGCCGAGCCCAACTCCTGAAAAACAACCCCACACCATAATTCCCCCTCCACCAAACTTTACACTTGGCACAGTGCAGTCAGTCAAGTATCGTTCTCCTGGCAACCGCCAAACTCAGACTCGTCCATGGGATTGCCAGACGGAGAAGCGTAATTCGTCACTCCAGGGAAAACATCTCCACTGCTCTAGAGTCCAGCGGCGGCGCTTTACACCACTGCATTCGACGCTTTGCATTACACTTGGTGATGTAAGGCTTGGATGCAGCTGCTCAGCCATGGAAACCAATTCCATGAAGCTCTCTACACTGTTCTTGAGCTAATCTGAAGGCCACATGAAGTTTGGAGGTCTGTAGTGATTGACTCTGCAGAAAGTTGGTGACCTCTGCGCACTGTGCGCCTCAGCATCCACTGACCCCGCTCTGTCATTTTACGTGGCTGAGTTGCTGTCGTTCCCAATCGCTTCCACTTTGTTATAATACCACTGACAATTGACTGTGGAATGTTTAGTAGTGAAGAAATTTCACGACTGGACTTGTTGCACAGGTGGCATCCTATCACGGTACCCCGCTGGAATTCACTGAGCTCCTGAGAGCGACCCATTCTTTCACAAATGTTTGTAGAAGCAGTCTGCATGCTTAGGCATGCAGCGATGTAATTGAAGTAATTGGGAAAAAGTGATGTTATTCTTAGTTTTGCATTTAGACCCAGTCAATATTTCATTCAGTCAAGTTAAACTTTTTTAATTGTATTTTTAATTACAATTGATTATTGCATTTCACTTTTTTCTATACACAATTAGCACAACATCTGTGTATGTAGACTAAACAGCAGTCTAAGCAGACGACACTGTGAATTATTTTTCACTGCTTTCACATAAGATGTATTTAATTGCCTCATCTTTCAAATAAGCTATCAGAAATTATTTAAACTGTGCTCAGTGCCCCACAACATTTCACACTGTGGCCTTTTTTAAAGCACCACTTGACTATTTTTCAAACTGAAGCATGTCTGTTTATTGTTCTGTAATTCTGGTCATAAATTATTAATTTTGGCCACAAGATTCACTGGCTTGATGGCCTGAGGGGCCATTGCAAATTGATATCTGTCTACCCCTGTCTGTATGAAGAGCAGCTTTGGATATAACAAACGTTTTTGAAAAGAATAACAACTGATGTATGTTGGAAATCACATCTTGATATTTCTCGTATGTGTAAAGCCCACTCCCAAAGTGTCAGCATTTATTATGGTAGGTGATTTGTAGATTTTATTATTATAATTATAATTATAATTATTATTGTTGTTGTTGTTGTTATTATTATTATTATTATTGTTGTTGTTGTTGTATGATGTTTTCTTTGTTGTTTTAGGACCAAATATTTTTTTCCTCTGCTGAAGAGCTCATATAGAGTCCAGGTTTTGGTTTAGTCTTTTCTGCTGAAGAGCTCATATAGAGTTCAGGTTTAGTTTTGGTCTTTTCTACTGAAGAGCTCATATAGAATTCAGGTTTAGTTTTAGTCTTTTCTACTCAAGAGCTCATATAGAGTTCAGGTTTAGTTTTAGTCTTTTCTACTGAAGAGCTCATATAGAGTTCAGGTTTAGTTTTAGTCTTTTCTGCTGAAGAGCTCATATAGAGTTCAGGTTTTGGTTTAGTCTTTTCTACTGAAGAGCTCATATAGAGTTTAGGTTTAGTTTTGGTCTTTCTACTGAAGAGCTCATATAGAGTTCAGGTTTAGTTTTAGTCTTTTCTGCTGAAGAGCTCATATAGAGTTCAGGTTTAGTTTTAGTCTTTTCTGCTGAAGAGCTCATATAGAGTTCAGGTTTTGGTTTAGTCTTTTCTACTGAAGAGCTCATATAGAGTTTAGGTTTAGTTTTAGTGTTTTCTGCTGAAGAGCTCATATAGAGTTCAGGTTTAGTTGTAGTCTTTTCTGCTAAAGAGCTCATATAGAGTTCAGGTTTAGTTTTAGTCTTTTCTGCTGAAAAGCTCGTTTAGGCTAGTTTCTCAGTGGGAGCTCGTGCTTCCTCCTCTATGCGTCACTCCTCTGTGAAGCCTCTTCCTGGTTGAGAAACAGAGCGTTGTGTGTGTGTGTGTGTGTGTGTGTGTGTGTGAGAGAGAGAGAGAGAGAGAGAGAGAGAGAGTGTGTATGTGTGTGTGTGTTTGAGTGTGTCTGAGGGCGACTGTGAAAGCGCATCCATTCAGTCGAGCTCGGAGAGGAACTCAAGGTACAGTATCTCATTCAGATATCTCCTATCTAACCGTCTACCGCTCTGAACATGCCTGGTCTGCAGTGGTTCATAGTCTGTGGTTAACAGTAGCGAGATGCACAACCGCTGTCTTCAAAATAACTTTAGCAGCTAAACTATTTTGTTTACCGCTCGTCTTCAACATTAAATGGGCCTGAGGTAACTAAGTTATTTTTCAGGGTTTAGCACGAAAGCTAGCGTCATGTCAGTGACGACGAATAAACCGCTAAAGTTGAGCTGTGATTTCTCCATTATTACTTGACCTGTAAACCTGTAAAACAGAAACACAACGACACTTAAAAATGTTCTGCATTAGAGCGAGATGTGCCTTTTTACTCCGCCTACATTTGGAAATAGTTCATATTGCTAGTGTGGGACCCATCTTTGCTTCCCTCTCACTCCTTCAGGATTAACTTCTAGACATTTTGAATTCTGGAAAATTCCCTGGTAGTATTGTGCATTAAGGACAACAATTAACTTCCTTATGGTGCCAAGTTTCAGTTCTTTGTCCACAGACGTGGGCTTTGAAAAAGCAGTGATGGCTGAATACTGAATACTCTGTCCAAAATGTATAACTACAGTAATGTACTCAGTTACAATTCATTAAAAGCAGCATGTTCAGAATAGAAGACATTTTAATGAAGTACATGGTAAAAACTCAGTTTAATTTAAAAACTCAATTTAATGTATTTTTATTTATTTCACACTATTCATGCTATTTTGTTCATGTAATTCTTCTCATAATATGTTTCATGAAAAATTCAATTATTCAAATGAACACAAAAATGAATGCAAACTTATCAGCGTCAGTTTGGCTCTCCTGCTTTAGTCCGCTGCTGCCCGCTTAACCCCCCTTTCACGACCTAGCTCAACAGTTCGCCATATCCCACTAACACACTCTATCTAATTTGAGTATAAAGTGAGTAGCTGGGCTTTTCAATTAATGATAGGAATGTAACTTGCCATGGAAGGCCTGTACAAGTCCAGTATATTGCCAAAGCTAAGCTTATCACTCGAGAATATGTCCACTGCTCTGTTCGGTCATCCCTCAAAAGAGTTTACTAATGCTCAGATGAAGAACTGGCTCATCACAGTGATTTAGCAGTCTACTCTGGCTTTAGGAGGAACTTCAGTGTTTGTAAGAAGCCATGTTTTGAGTTTTACTTTAGAGTAAGATTTTACATGTTGTGTGCTGATTTAAAAATAGTTAATAAACAATGTAAACAATGTAATAAACAAAATAGTATACATATTTTTTAATTCAGTGGGTAAGTATTCAAAAAGCATTCTCCTAAAAATGTAAAAAGTAACTGTATTCTGAATACTTCCTTTATAAAATGTAACTTGAACTGAATACAGATACTTTTGAATACGTATTCCCAGTTTATTCTGTTATGTCCCAACCCTGTTTATCCATCACCAATTTTAATAAAAGTAGACACACTCTATGTACAAAATTTAATTGACCCCTGCTTATCCAGCATTTCTTCTGAAATCAAGGGTGTTAATAAGGAGTTTGTCTCTTCTGGGAAGGCTTTACTAGACTAGACGTTGGAACATTGCAGTGAGGCTTTGATTGCATGCAGCCGCAAGAACATTAATCAGGTCATGCCAGGGAGATTTCTGCCCCTCTAGACAAAGCTTAGCATTGATCGTGGTGGCTGTAAGGTCATCTGTGGCTGCTCCAGAGCATCCCATTCTATTGGCGGTATTTTTCTATGGAGATTATACAAACTATATGTCCACAATGGAACACCTGTGTCTTTAAAGTAACTGAATTTACTAATTAATAGAAGTGTTTGGGTTTATTGTAATCTTTAATCTAACTCCACTGCTAAACAGCTTACATTGTTAGGAATTTATTTCCTTTCTGTGAGCACAGGAGATGCTTTGAGGGTCCTCCACAGCTGTTTACTTCTGAGGAGCCCAGTGAAGGGAGGAGTTATGGCAGGGGAGAAGAGTTCTCAAGAAGACGGTCACTCTTCCAGAG